ATCTGCTTTAGCCTCAAGAAAAGATTCTTCATGTGGCCTGGATTGGCTTTCCTACAGAATTTTTAAACTTTTAAATGTTCAAACTCTATTTTTTTAAATTTATTAATAGTTTATGGTCGTCTTCTATTATCCCAGAGGATTGGAAAACTGACTGTTTTTACCAATATTAAAACCCGTCAAAGACTTTAATTTGGCTGATGATTATCGTCCTATTACACTGAGTTCATGTGTAGGAAAAATTTTCGAACAATTAATAAAACAGAGATTAATTTTTCACATAGAAAGTAATAATCTTTTACCTTACAATCAGTTTCAGATATCCACGATGCTCATTCCGAGAATAAAGTACTAGTTGGTGTTTTTCTTGACATTGAAGGGGCTTTCAATAATGTAGATCTGAACTAATTATCCTCAGTATTATTATTACTGCGGGTACCTGGAAAAGTTGTAAATTGGATTTTTAATTTTTTGAACTACAGAAAGGTGTTTGTTAAGGTCAACAATCAGTTATTTGGTCCAAGATATTCTTGTAGGTGTGTATCACAGGGTGGTGTATTGAGCCCATTGCTTTTTATCCTATTCATACATCAGCTAAATTTAACTCTGGGGTGTGAAGTTTCTAATCTGCAGTTTGCAGATGATTTAGTTGTTTATTGCTCTGATACTAATATTTTATGTGCACAATCAGTCCTCAATGTTGCTCTCCAAAGACTAAAGAACTATTTTGATAGCCTTGGGCTGGAGGTCAGCAATGAAAAAAGTTGTTGTCTTTTCAAAAAATGGAATTAGAAATAGGAATGTAAATATTTTGTTCAATAATAATGTAATGTCTGTAGAGAGCTCGATAAAGTTTTTAGGTGTTATTTTTACAAACAATTCTAGATGGAATAAGTATGCTGAAACTCTAGAATCTTGAGCTTTAAATGCTTGTAATGTTTTAAAATCTTTAACAAGCACATATTTGGGTGCTGATCCAAGGATTCTATTAACATTATATAAATCATTAGTGGGGAGTCATTTTGAATATGCTTTTTTTTTTGTTTTGCAGGGGTAAGAACTATAATAGACAAATTAGAAAAGATACAAAATAAATGTTTGCGTATTATAATGGGTGCCATGAGAACTACTCCCATAATGTCAATGCAGGTGGAATGTAATATACCTCCATTAGCACTTAGGTTTAAATACTTACAATCAAAATTTTTTGCAAGGTTGCTCTCCATTAGTAAACATTCACTTCTTGTTAAACTGCGGGACACTATTAACAGGACTATCAATATTAATTCATATTTGTTTCATGGTTTTCCTGAAACAGAACAAATTTTTTATAAACACTATTTTTTCTAGCATGGCATGGCCTTGTTACTCTGGGTTATATGAATCAAAATTTATTCAGATTAAAATTGTAGTCAAAAGTCTTGTAAAGTATAAGGAAGACATTTATAGGGAACTTGATAGGTGGCAGGGATATCATCAGATATATACAGATGGGTCTAGGAACAATGAAGCAGTCTCTATAGCTGTCTATGATAGTCAGGTCAAACGTGGATTCGGTCATGGCTGAATCCACTCACAAGCATATACTCCGCTGAAGCTGAAGCTGTGTACACAGCTATGGAGCACATTCAAACACAGACTCATCCAAAGTGGATTATAATAACGGATAGTTTAAGTTTATTAACGACACTACAAAATCAACAATTAAATTCAAAAACTTACTATATATATAGTCTCAAAACAAGCAAATAGTCCTATTCTGGACACCAGCCCACATTGGTGTGCATGGTAATGAGCAAGCAGACTATTTAGCTAAATTTATTACAAATCCGGCCCACAATCAATTAAGTCATAGCTTTCTAAATTTCCCAATTCCTTATTCAGACACTCTATCCCTCTTCAAACTCAAGTTACAGAAAGAATTTTACAACTTATGGCATCAGGTGGTGAAGGTAAAAGGAAAATGGTTCGCTACAATAAAGAAAAAGGTCTCTTTCCCCTGGTTTACGCGGGAAAGTGACTATAGCCATAGAAAGTATTATACCACAATCTGTCGTTTGCGTCTGGGACATTGTAGTTTAGGTGCTCACCTTTTTAGGATTGGTGTTTTTGACTCTTCAATTTGTAGATATTGCAATAGTGCTGATGAAACCCCCGTGGTCGGGCCCTTCGGGCCCGAATTAAATCGGCTCGGTCCCATCAGGACCACCCACCCCTCTCGGTGACGCTGTAAAAGCCACTAGGGATAACAGCATAAGTCAAGTCGAAACTAAAAAAGATGAAACTCTCGAACATATATTTTTTGACTGTCCACAGTTTAGTATACAAAGGATGGTCCTACTATAAATGAAATCTAATTGTTATAATATGTATATAATAATAATTTTTTCGTTTTGTTTAAGATGTTTGTTTTCCAGCTATTTCAGAATTTGATTTTTAGAATTTGACCGTTTTTTCGATTGTGACGAATGAATTGTACTAAAAATGACATTACAAGGACTTGACATTGAAAAAAAGACGGAATGTAAAAAAAACAAGAATTTGACAAAAAAATATATTTTAAATAAAGACATGGCTTCGGCCTTATTATTAAAAAATAATTCAAGAAGTAAAAATAAAGGAAGACATAGCTTCGGCCTTAAAATTTAAAAAAATATTAAAGAAGAAAATTAAAAGAAGACATGGCTTAGGTCTGATATAAAAATTTAAGTCAAAAATAAAAAATGAGATTGAGACATTTAAAAAAAAATTAAAGATACAAAATACAAAAGACATAGCTGTATGGGCTTTGTTTTCTTTGCCTGTTCTGAACGGAACGAACATAACCAAAAAAAATGTCTTTTCACTTTTGTTTGTTTTGAAATACGGCGGTTAATTTCCGAATTTATATTGTGAACTTTTTTGAATTGTTACTAAACAATAGTGTGTGATTATACTATGTTAATGTTTATTTAAAGGCTTACAATGGAAAATTATCAAAAACACCCACTCAAATTATTCATACAAGATATTTTTCGCGCTGAACCAACTGAAAACAAATACGTATATAAATTATTTGATTTATCTTTTAAGAATGTTATGATACACGGTGTAGTTACAGCCATTTATAATACTACGACATTCACGACAAACTTAGAGTTAAGTGATCCAACGGGCTGTGTACAAATATACTACGATACTAGAAAAAGAAATGGTAACATATCTCAAGATGTTATGAAAGACCTTATTAAAAGTTTCGCCAATTTCTCAAGATCTGGACATGAAAAAGCGCCTTTTCTTGCCTCCTTATTAAATTCTATAGAGAAAAAGCATAAAAATCCCATTGATTTCGAAGAAGGTTCGTATGTTAATGTAGTCGGCGATATTTTTATTGAGAATTTTTCAAACACCAGAATGGTATCGGCGTTTCAAATTAAATGTACTTCAGTTGATTCAGACATTATATGGTTAGAAGAAGTTAGATATTTGTATAATAAACATTATTTAGTGAGAAACAGAAATGATATGTATAGATGTAAATAAATAACATATATGTAACTTTAGAATTAGTTATAAAAACAAGCAATAAATAGTTATGTTGAAGACTACTTAGTTTTTAATTTCCATATCTAATCCTCTCAAATATAATAAAAGACAAATGTATACTTTTGATATATTTGTACCGACAATACCAATTTTAACAAAATAAAGACAATATTACAATGTTTTCACTACCGACAGCTTGATTTCATATTTATATTTAATCTACATTATTAAAAATATTTAATATTTTTGATAAGCAATTCATAGTAGTGTTGTAAATATAAAGTTTTGATTTTATTCTTAAAAATTATTGCACTTTTAATGTTTTTCAAATAAAGATCAATGTTAATAGAATCATTTTGTGTACGAACAATGAACATTCATAATATACTGAATTTTGCAAAATATAATATCTAAAATATATTAATTAGGATAAATTGACAAATTTTAATATGGTAACCATTACTTTTTATTTTAAGTCTAAGAATATAATTAGCAAACTCATTGTGATTTTCTGATTTATATCATATAATCATATTTATCATTATCAGACTATCAGAGCCCACTGCTGAGAGGCCTCTTCTTACATGGAGAAGATTTGAGCATTAATCACCACGCTTGCTCAAGACGGGTTGGTGATTTCAAACTTATTATTAGAAATTATAAGTCCAGGTTTCCTCATGTTTCCTTCAATGGATGGATTTACTTATGTAAACTGATTTTAAATATTTATAAAACTTTTTGACAATCAAGAGATATGGGAAAAGAGCCAACAAGTTGATTTGTCTATTCCTTACTTCGTAGCTTCATATCTTTTATTACCTTAGACAAATTGGCATCTTAATTTTTTTGTCTTCAAATCATCAGAAAATTGGTATTAACGAACAAATTATTCAATATTAAGTCAAAATAAGATGACAAAATTAATATTAAAAACAAAAAGTACAGTATTTATGGCAAAAAAAAGTAAATTTTTGACCACCATTTGTTAAACCAGGATATAACTATTTCACATTTTTGACGCAATGCAAGAAAATCTACAAAAGTTGTGTATTAAATAATATATTTATTACAATAAATTTTTCATTTTTACTTTTTTTTCAAGACATTTATAGTTTAGTTGCAAATTCAGATAAACCGTTTTCCTTCCTGAAAACTCACGAATTCCATTATACAACCCCAGCCTCCCTATAATTTAAATTCTTTTAACTTGTCACATTTTATATCAAAGTAATTTCCGAACTGATATTGTTATCACTTATTTCCAATCAATTGTCAAACCTATTATCAATTTTAATAGGAATCTGACATTTATAACAAGATATTATTTAAGAAAGAATATTTCAAGTATTATTGTAATTGTTAAGCGGAATATTGCACTACGGTAAGTTTTACTAGAAACTGCAGAAACTTATATAAATGTAAAAAAACAATTAATACCTAGTTGTATATGTGGTATATTTTTTTAAAACCGCTGCGCAATGGCTAGCGAAGGATTTTCACCAGAGGAGATAGAAGCCCTCTGCCAAACACCTAATCCTAAAACAAAGGTGAGTTTTGATGAATCTGTTTCTATTGACCTTTGATCTTCGTCATGGTCATTTGAAGCCGGCAATTAGACCAAAAACTTATTACTATACATGAAAATTTAATATAAATGAGAAAATTATAAGTAAAATATTCTTATTAATTCATATTTTCATGATTTCTTATTAATTTATCGTGTATTCTTTTGATAAGAGGTCAGGTCAAAATTATGTAATACTAAGTTTAGATAAAATTTTTCTACAGAAGTTTTTCTCAAAATACCTCAATGACGATACAAGAAGTATACATAAGCATTTCTCATGAGATATATACAACTACACTAATTTCTTTGCGACAACAACTATACTTAATTCTTCCCGACACTATGTTACTATACATGTATGTATTCCCGTAACATGTTACGATATTTTATTCCAGGATTTCATGTTCCAACAAACAATGTACAGGATAAAGGATCCTCGTAAATCCTTACCGTTTTACACCGGAGTGCTCGGAATGACTCTGTTGAAACAGTTGCATTTCCCGGAAATGAAATTCTCATTGTTCTTCATGGGTTACGAAAATCCTAACGAAATACCGAAAGACGAAAAGGAAAGAAGTCAATGGGCCATGTCTAGAAAGGCCACTTTGGAATTGACTTAGTAAGTATTGAAATAATATAAAATTGTAATATATTGTCTTATTTCTAAGTATTATATATTTTTTTAGTATAACTATGTAATTTGTGACATATGGATGGATTATAGAAAGCCAATTTTCAGCACATTCAATTTATCTAATTAATGGTATTAAAAATTAGGATTTCTTTTTTCTTCTTAATTACTGAGTGGATTATTATGAAGTTTTGAATCATTTTATCAATTTGAGTAAAGATATTCCATAAACATGTTCCAATAAGACAATTACACCAATTTATATAAAAATCTTTATCTATTTAAATAAATAGTATAGTAATTATGTACATAGTAATTAATTGGTTGGTGTTTAATACTTAGTGGATTAAATATATGATACATTAAAATAATAGATATATCCAAGTTACTACATGTTTTGATTTGACTTGATACATATAGTTTCATAATATACATTTGAACCTAATCTTATATAAGAATATAATTTTATTACTTTAAAGTCTCAGTTTTCACTTTGATATAAATACTAAGTTCAAAGTATTTTTATTCAACCATATATAAATAGAAATAATATTATTTTGCAACTATCTAGTATAGTATATTTTAATTTTAATATTACAGTAATTGGGGCACTGAAAACGATAACACAATATACCACAATGGAAACTCTGATCCGAGAGGGTTCGGTCACATCGGTATACTTGTACCTGATGTGGATGAAGCTTGTGAACGGTTATATAAATATTATTATCCCTACTAATATTTTAAATGCGAAGTAACTCTGTCTGTTACGCTTTCACGCCTAAACCACTGAACTGATTTTAATGAAATTTGGTACAGACATAGAGTTGACCTTGAGAAAGAACATAGGATAGTTTTTATCCCAGACTTTTGAAAGGTTCTCTTGGATATAACCGAACTCCACGCGGGCGGAAAGCTAGTAAAATATATAAAGGAGATTATTTGTTTATATAAAGTAGATTTTTTATTTTTGAGATTACAATGATCACTATTTACTAATAATTGTTCATTCATGTATTAAAATAAAATATGTACCTATAATAAACTAATTTTGGTACTTGTAACCTCTGAAATGATTGGACCAATTTTGCTAGGGTTTTTACTATCAGATAGCTGATCTGATAAGAGTTTCAATGATCAAGAATACTGAAAACATATACATATTTAAATTTTTTAAACTATTACATTAATTATATAAGTTGCTATAAACAACTTATATAATTTATAGAATGACTTAAACTTTGATTTTTATACTAATAAAACTTATTTCAGTTTTGAACAACAAGGTGTCAAATTCATAAAGAGGCCTCAAGACGGAAAAATGAAAGGACTCGCGTTTATACAAGACCCCGATGGATATTGGATAGAAATATTCACTAATAAAGTTGTTTCGTAAATAAACATTCACTTAAATCAATGTTTTTTAAAATATATATTATTTTTATAAGCTGTTATAGTTAAATACAGTCCATGTGTGCCTTTAAGTGTTGCTATATGAATAAAATATTGTGTTATGTTGTGTTTTATTTCGTAAAACTTATATATAAAGTAAATTCCTCTGTAATTTCACCGAATATAACGACAAACTACGTTTTTTTTAACTATGGCTTCATACGCAGAAAGCATGGAATATTATATTATTATAATCTTGAGTGGTATGTGGATAAAATACGAAGGAGTTTGTCGAATGGAAAAAAACTCCTTAACGGATCGTAATTATTATTTATTCGACTTTTTAGTGAGATTATCTTTCATACAATGGCTTTCTCTATATAATGTTAAAATCACTGTCAGCTATGACAAGATTTAAATAATATTTACTTTTGACGTTGGAAAAATATTTCACCAAGCCATAACCAAGGCGATATAAGCCAATATAAGATTTCTAATATAGTGTATTATTTATGATATAAGCTTTAAGGGATAGAACAAGAAGAAATTTTGTCCAAAAACAACAGATTTTTCTTCTTAAGATAAATATAGTACCTAGAACCATGTTGAGAATTTAAAAAGTTGTTTTAAAATTTGCACACTGAATGAATTGAAATTTACATACAGACACTTAAATCATTGTTAAAATAACTGCATATGGCCTGTTCATGTGTTCCACGACTAATATTGAACATTCATAATGATTTTGATATTGAAATAATATAGATATAAAATTTTATTAAAATTAAATATCTCATGGACGAGAAGATATAGGAAAGTGGCTATTCATATTTATATTAGGTATATAAATTGCTACATGTATGTATAATAGTGGCGAAATAGCCACATTAATATAAAGAGACATTCACAACTGAATACAGAAAAGTCCTAGGGTTTTCCTTAAAATTTTTGCCTGAAATCGTATTTGTAATTTATGTCAACTAGAAAATAGTTTTACCACACCTTTAATTGTATTTACAGAATTAAAGTAACATTTCCTAATGATTTTCCTAATTAACTATCATTTATCATCATTGCCATTTGCTAACTAAAGGGCTCTTCTCACATGGAGAAGTTTAGAGCATTAATCACCACGCCTGCTCTAGACGGGTTGGTGATGTCAAACTTATAATTTGAAATTATAAGTCCAGATTTCCCCACGATGTTTTCCTTCACCGTCTGTCAGTGATGTCTCAATACTCTTACAAAGTAAATATGACTCGGAAAAATCACATTATTTCATGCCAGGATCGAACCCGCGCCCTCATACATGAGATTCTGGCCTTAACCACTATGCCCCCATGACAATAAGGATTCGAAATGGTTTATTACATACAATTTGTATTACAAATATTAATATAATTCGACAGTTCCGTTCCATTTCTATTTAATCTGATAACATTGTAATAATAATAACATGATATTTAAATAGTATATATGTTATTACACGCCAATAATTTTAACACGGTATATAAATTAGTTAAACAATCATATATATAATAAATCAGAAGATATTCTCCTCTTTATAATTCATGATCAAGATGAAGATTATAGTGTTGTGTATATTTGCTGAAATTTTAACAGTTCTTTCTTTTAATGTAAGTATTTTGAGGGTGTTTTGCAATCAAAGTGTTTTTCTTTCTCTAGAGATAGTTATAAAATGTTTACACAAGCCTTACTTTACACGACCTTTATAGAAATTATTAAAGATAATGAGAGAAAAATTACTTAAGTATAAAGAACTAAAATTTAATAGAAAAATACTTATAATTATTAATCCACCTTATGCAAACTCTTTTCCTTCATATAAAATTCTCATCACTAGTCTCCAAAAAAATACTAGTCAGTAAAATTATTAAAATTACTTTTCTCTCTTTATAGATATATAATTCATACAATCCATACAAGCGTTGGATTTTTCATAGACGAATTCCTTTGTATTCATACAAAATAAATTTGGTCGGTACTGGAAATGGGAATATAAACGGTCAAAGCAAGAATAACTTAGTTTTAATAACAAGAAATAGCACTGGACCTGACGATACAAATAATTTGGATTATAAAACTTCTCAAATACATGATACAGATTTAAATTTAGATGGAAAAATCATTGAACTACCAAATGTAGACAAAACATTCGAAGAGGATATAGATACGGATGTAATAAAACAAAGTAATTTGGAAAATAAGTCAAGTTACCCGGACATTGAACCGCTCAGTGGCTTAGAAAGACAAAATTATTTCAAATTATCACAAACACCATACATTCCAAACTATTTAACATATTTTTATGGTAATAACAGAAATCTACCAGTGAATTATTACGTAAATAATATTAAAAAAGGTGGTTTTAGTTACGGTTTATATAAAAACAATGGATTAAACCTAACAGACGTAATTACTACAGGGAAAGGAAGTCAAGATATTAATCCCGTCGTACAATATGCATATAATTCTTATCTGGACAAAGAAAACAATAAAATTGATGATTTAGTAACAAGTGAAGTTAATTTGAAAGATGAAACAAAAGAATCACTTGTCCCCGTCACTCTAGAAGAAAGTCAAGAAGATAATAATGACAAAACAAGAACAGACAATGTCAGTATTGAAACGAAAGAAGTGAAAATACCTAATGTATCAGAAGTAGAAGAAAGTGAGGCTTTAAAAAAGATTCCTTGCTTAGATTCATTGGTACCTCTAATATCAAATGGAATAAAAAGGACGAATAATATAGAAATTGCCAGAAATAATTTATTGGATACAAGATTAGGTGATTTTTATAGAAATCAAGTGGTTCCTTTTCAAAATAGAGGTGTTTGTATACACAAATGTTTAACTATTTGTAATTAATTGTCAATATAAATCAAAATATATCAATTTTATACAATAATTTAATTCGTTACTTCCATTATTTCTTAGAATATGATAACATTTATATATCTATTAAATATTGATTTCAGTATTTTCTTTAATTTTAATTATTTCAAATATAATGAAAATTCTTAAATAACTATTACGAAAGTTTAAATTGCATCATTAATGTATAACAAGTAAAAAGCTTAGTGGAGATAATTAATCATAGGCAAAACCAGATGATTTGTAGTTTTAATCTTCTATATATATATAAAAATGGATTGCTGTTCCTTAGTCTCGCTAAAACTCGAGAACAGCTGAACGGATTTATCTTATCTTAGTCTTGAAATGTTCGAGGAGGTTCAGGGAAAGAATAAAAGCTGAAAAAAATGGATTCATTACTGGGAAAACCATAAAAACAGCCCTTTTCTATTTCCCATACAAACGTTTTTTTGACATTAGATTTGACAACTAACTAATATGTCAATCATTCTGTTCGATTGAAACAGGAAAAACCTGATTATTTATGGCCTCTAGATCGGAATAGAGTTCACCCGGTCAGCTATACAAATATTGCTAATGACGAAATTAACGCGGACGAAGTCGCGGGCAAAAACTAGTGGTTTATAAAGAATTACGTCTTCAAACGAATATAGAACACAAACAAATCGGTAACTGTATAAAATAATATTAGTTAATATACATATGAATGCAAAAAACACATGATCAATAAGCGCTACTTGAGTGAACTTTTCATTTATTAATTCTTTCATCCTTACTGTAGTCAGTGAACTGAGAACTTCATATTTATCTATAAAGTTAACTATAATTCGACCAGACCCTGGCTAAAGCTGGGAGGTTGCCAGGAAGAAGAAGAAGAAACTATAATTCGAATTTTAATTAATGTGCTTTATGTAACATCAGTTACATTCAAAAAATGATTCAAGTTAACATTGATATTAATAAAATATATCTTAAAAATATTGATACAGATAACTTAGAAACAGTTATAAGAGTTTTTCAGGAAAAAGATATGGAGTTTTTACGTTTAGAATTTAATAAACACGAACTTTATAAATTAATTGTATTTTTATAAGAAGCAAACAATTAAGTAAATCTTCAAATTTAGACTAAATAAATTTAATGTTTGGTCTTCTTGATATGGTCTCATGAAACCTAATTTATAAGTTTAAATGATGCAAACTAAATTTCTATTGAGGATATCTTTACACGTTTGTCCAAATAAGATCTTAAGATTCTGAAGAGGTATACTTGTGAATATAAACTAACAGTCCTTAAAATATTGAGCATTGAAATTATTTTGATAACACAAGAATTAAAGTTGTTTAGTGGGTATATCATATACCTACGTTTAAGTTGATGTTGAATGTATATATAGTGTTACGTATTTTTTAACTGATAAAACTAACCCAGATTAAATTTTGGTATAAGTAAGTAACGTAGCATGTTAAAAGGACTGCACCAAATATGTAATATGCATATACAGGAGTCGTTTTTTAATTGAATTCACCGATTCTATTAAGGGAACGATAGTCTAATTGGTAAATAAATTGAACATAATATTATTTAGACGAAACCTCTCATCATTCAATGTATTCACGGTGCGTGTGTCAGGTCCATCGTTGTAGTGAGAGGAGCTTCAACAGTGACTGGGACTTGTGACCCAGGTGTAGGTTTAAGGGACCCCTATCTAACGCGTTAAACGCTCACCTTCACCGTACAAGCTCCTCTTTCTACCTAACCAAACTCGATATTTATATATGTATATACATTACTTCACATATTACAATGTCTTATATCTTGAAATTATCTAATTTCAAGATACATATTTTAAATTGATTTGATTGTAAATTATTACACGCTGATATTAGAAATACAAATTACTTTTGAATATGCTATAAAGAGATGAATTTTCTGTTTATATATATATTTAAAAATCATAACTTGACCAGATGGCATAACTTTTATGCGTATCATTAATACAGCAAACGTCTTTTTCAGTTGATAATACAATTAAAGATTTGTTTTAAAACTAGAATAATAATTTAATATAGCGTTGGAGAAATACATTTAAGATTTTCGTAAGAAAAGGTGAATGGGTTTTAATGAATGGTACTCTTCAAAACTTTTACTAAAGGAGCAGACGGCCTACTTAATGGAGGGTAGTTACCGTCGCACATAGATATCTGCAACATAAGTGATGTTGCGAATGTATTGGCAAGCTTGATTGTAGATATCAAGACTTGAATTGTTTTTTTCTTCTATTTGCTTCTAGTGTCCCAGGAAATATGTTGTTACTTTGATCTTATTGTCAAGATATAATTTCTTTGATACAAATAATATCCAAATGGAATTGAAGTTCTAACGAACTTATATTAGAGAGGGTAAACGAAATTTTTCTCTAATATTAGGATTAGCCAAGTTTAGGAGTTTCTAATTCAGACGTTTATGTACTGACCCGACAACTTTCTTTCTAAAACTTAAAAATAACACAAAAAAATCCATTTTTCAACAGATGTTTCATGTATATACGAGATAGAAGTATAATTCAGTTTGAAGTTCAAGTTTGAGCAAACATTGCTTGCAAAAACATCACAATGGCCTGAGTTGCATTATCATATCAAGCGTTTAATGCAATTAGTTTTTTTTGATTGACTATTTTCTACTGAAACTAAACCAGCAATAAGATCAAGACCTAGTAAACAATATAATAAATTAATAGTTATGTTTTACACCTCATTTTCTTAAAGCTACTTATAGCTTGGCTTAAATAAATATATACTAAAATCCTTTTATTTCTAAATCATTATCAAAAATTAGAGGTAAATCCGAGTGTCCAAATTATATTTAATAATGTATATTTATTATACATGTTTGGATTATTTAAAACACCTTTAATTAGTGCAAATTGAAATTATCAAATCTTAACAAATTGCATCGCTAGTTATATTATTGGAAACATAATTAAAGTTTTATGATTTCACACTTTCTAATAAATACAAGGCACTGTTTAATCGCGAACAAAGTTATCAAGTATCGCGTTTAGCAGTTAATATGATTTTTCATATACTGCTTCTTAATCTGTCTCCTATATTCGCTGATAATGAGGTAAGTAATTTTAGTTAAGGTGTTAGGAAAATTCAAAATCAATTCTTATTAGTATTAGAAACACGTTTCAATATATATTGCGCTTTTTTTGTAACTTTAAAATAAGATGATTAACTTTTAATTAAGACGAATTTATAAACTATGCATATAAGTAGTTTCCCGTCCTTATTAATATTATTATATGTAAAGAATCACATTTCATAATGCACAAAAACATTATAATTTTTGCACAAAAACATTATGCCAAAATTATTGAATATTTCTCTGCAAAATACCTATAAATAATTTTTTTTAGCTCATTAAGCCATTACCTATGGAAATACCACACCATTTAGGAACAAAACTTCCTCAACTACCACAAATGGGTGTGGATGTAGATTATGCTGAAGATGTGATTTCGGTAAATTTTATTTTAAAATAGTTCATATTGCACGTAGTTTTGTTCACATATTTATATGTATACATATATCGTTGTTATTTACAGGGTATCCAACCATATAACGTTTTTTCTAATCGCTTAAATAGTGTTAAGGATATTGCTCGATATTGTCCTCATACAGAAATTATATCATGGCATCTCAATAGACTTTGTAGCCAACCACAATGTGATGCTCAAGTCAAAGCAGTATTAAAGAACTATTACAGTCTTCTTACGAACGCACTAAATTATAGACAAGATTTGAATGCAGTCAATAATGTGAATCTAAACAACCAGTTATTTGATATAAATGCGCTGACACAGAAAGTATTGATGAATAGAAACAATAATGTTAAAGTTAAAATATCATTTGAATACGAATTACCATCACTGCAGCAAAATAAATGTGACCAACTGTGTAATGCTCTTGAGAAGTACGCAAATACGATGAATAATGGACTTTTGAGCGTTGATAATGATAGGGATGCGGTGAAAGCTTATAATTACTTGATTCCCAAACCAGATAACGCCTTATACAATTATCCCACAGCCTTACTCACGGACAATCAGCCACCAAGACCTGTACCAATAAGAATAACTAATAACCAACCGAATCTGGACTTTCTTCCAAATCCAGCGTACGCGAAATTACCAAATTCAAATACCTTGCAAGACTTATTACCACTATTACCAAATTCAGTGGGAAATATAAATCAGAATCCCTTACAAAATGAATTACCAAGTCTGCAGGAACCTATACAACTACCTACCAGTCCTTCAACAAACGTTTTGCCTGTACCAAACACAGAAAATTCTAAATATGATCCTCTGAATAATATAATCCCTGCATTACAAATTCCTGATACTTCTTACCCTGAAAATCCCTGGAACCTTAGTCCGTCCCAGCCATCTCAACAATACCTGCCATCTCCGTATACAAATCCTACAAATACATTAAATTATCCTCAACCCCTGCCTATAAATACGAAAGCAACCGAAAATTCTTACCCTTTCAGTCCTAAATCGAAACCTCTTCCAGACAGTTACCCAGAATCGCCAATATATTATCCCTTACAGTATTTGCCACTTACAGTAACAGAACAGTTAGAAGACTCAAATAAAAATCCATTAACTAACTTACAGCCTCTTGTAAGACCTGACGAGTCCTATCCAGATGAATTGTCACCTACTTTGCCTGACCAAAATTTACCAAATGCTGAAAATTTGAATCCCTTACTTCAAAACCCAAAATACGTCGATTCCTATCCATCTAACTCATTGCCATCGCCACTGAATTTTGATGTCTTGCCAAATTCAGCGCTATTTCCACAAAGTCCTTTAGAAAATCCAAATTCTAATTCCTTACAGTATTTACCGAATCTACCATCAAATCCCTTACAGCTGCCGGATAATGATCCCAACATTTTACCTCTGTTACAAACTTCTACAGAGCCTTCTAATAATTTACAAAACTTACTACCCTTACCTTTTAATCCCCCAGAAAATCAATTAATCAATTCCAATCCACTAAAAAGATTACCTATACAACTTATTCCCTTAAATAGTTACAATAATCTACCCAATAAACCAACTATCGGTTATGATAACTCCTATCCTGAGCAAAATTTGTTAGATCAGCAACAAAATGTTATGCAAAGCCAGAATTTATTACAAAACATATCGCAATCACTGCAAAGTTTTACTGGAAGCAAAAAGTACCAAGAATATGTAAACGCGTTAAACAGAAAATACTATGATTTACAAAGTTATCAGAATCTCAAGAAAAATTACAACATGAATATGGATTTAACGAAATCTGTGGATCAAGAAGGTGATTTCTCTGCTCAAAATTTTAAAAAAGCCTATTCTACGTTTGCAATCAGTAAAAATAATATGATACTTAACAATCAATTAAATGGATTGTATAACAACAGACCACAACAAAATGTTGGACAATTGGCGACAGAAAATCCAATATTATCATATCTAGCTAAACTGAGCGGAAATTTAGGGACAAATGTTTTATCAAACCTAAATCAAAAACAAAGTACTAACATCAAACTGGATTCTTCATCCCAAACACAACAAAATAGTTATAATTACTACAAGCAATATTTAGGTTTGAGTAATGGACTATATCCTCAAGTTCAAACACACAGATATCTTTTAAATCCAGAAATTGAAAATCTATCAAAAAATAACATTCCAACTACGTCATTGTTAAACGGCGGGCAAAATAACGCATTACTAAACTCCCATAACAAATTCATGAATCAATTACAAACTAGTTTATATAATAATTTCCTTCAGGGACCAAATTATTACAATACCAATTTAAATAATGCAAACGCTGATAAAATAGCAGAAAAATACAATCGCCAATTACAACATTTGCATCGGTTGCTTGCTGTGTCGAATCTCTACAAATTGAATTCAACACCAAACAGAAATAGTTTTGTCGAACTGACGTACAAACTTAGGCATGACAGACCAATACTCGATCCTTATTATTACGTGAAATATAGATTACCATACGAAAAATTCTTATCAAATGTAAGAAATTTACTAGTTAAAGTACCAAATCTCAGAAACAGTCCTAATCATGACATATTAATGGGCTCAGATATATCAGAAGCTTCCAATGATTTGAAGAATGTCAACAAAAATGATCTATTGAAACTCGTAACCAGCAATGGGACCTTGATAAAAGCGAATTTAGTCGAAGCAGATGACACAAACCTTGATGAAAACTTAAAAATAGTAAGGAGGTTGAATTCGAACATACCACTTCATAGTATATTCAAAACAGATAACACAACAAAATTATCTGGACGAATGATGAATCCTCTCACAGATTATCTGCGGGCTCAACAGAAATATCTTCAACATTTACAAAAAAGATTATCTAGGAATGAATATAATACGGACCCGTATCGTACACAGGCTGCATTAAACTACAATCAAAATCTGCAACAACCAAACTACTTGTCAAACGAACAACCACTATACAATGCATTCGTGGGATCCACATTTAATAAATATAAAGCTCCAAACACTTACCATCCAAGTTATAATCAAGTTTGAATAAAATAATACTTTATTCACAAATAGTTTTATTGATTGTATTCATATTTTTCCTATCAGTTATGAAACTAGTACAAACCTAATGATAGAATTAATATCACGTGGGTATATAATTTGAAGAATTTATTTGTTTTAATTTACTATTTACGATTTTAATGCGTTATAAAATAGTGTCGCAATGTTTTATATGTGTAGTGTATTTAAATAATATAGAACAATATTCTTTATCTAAGTTTTCATCGTCATAGTATATACGAAGCTTTTCACTTATCACATTCTATAACTGATGTTAATAATATAAGGTGCAAGATTTATAAGCGAAAACTGTTAACGCTCCGTAATTACTGTGACGATGGGAAATTGAGAATAAGCATAGGGATGTGAAGTTGTTATTGTAATTCGTTTGGGTAGTCAGCAGAATAGTTTTATTCAGAGCAAGAAAGTCAAAAACAGTGCCTTATAAATTTTATACCACAGCTACAAGTGTCCTTTGGCTTTATTTTTCTAAGATCATAAAAAAGTAAAAACGGAGGTTTAAATAGTAAAAATAATTCTAAGGTAATAATATCACAGTATTACAGTACTTAGTAACGTTTTCTAATAAATATTAAATATCTTTATATTTACATCAATAGATAGTTTCCTACCTTTGATGAATTTAATACAATAAGCAACATGTCAGTGGTGGCCTAGTAGTTAAAAGACCCGTCTCTCATGCACGAGGGTGCGGGATCGATCTTGGCCCTGGCAAGTATCAATGTGATTTTTCCGAGTCAAATGTACTTTCTTAGAGTATTTAAACATGATTGATTAATGTATTCTCAAAGAGGGTTGATGTCAGGCAGGCGGCCGGTCGTAAAAACAATTAGCCAAAAACTATTCACAACATGTAAGGTAGAAACCTGGCTTAAGCTGGGAAATTGTCAGGTAGAAGAAGAAGAAGCAACATCCGGTAGGATAAGTTTTTTTTCCTGTTTTGAATACACAGAACATCATCAGAAGTAGTTTAAGAAAATAAAGTCTAGCAAAATAGAAATTTCCAACTGAACACAGACAGGATTGTAGTTTTGATATCAAATTCTAAGTAAAAAATGATAAGGAGAAAAATTTCTCCAAAAACACATTGCTACTTTAGATATCACTTCCGTTTTAAGAAACAAAGTATGAAACAATTCATTTTCAATTTTATTGCATAGTATAGTCTGGATCTTCAGATTATCATAACAGCCAAATAAATTGACATCTGACATTTGACAGTTATGTCAAAATATTTACATGTTTTAACCGGTGTGGTTTAAATGAAATAGTTTCATAAAAATTATTTTAAAACATTAAAATCAGATGTGATAAAAACATGCAGTCAAGAAAACCATTATTTGTTAAACCCGGTAAGTTTCAACTTTTAAACCTTTTGCTTAAGTTAAAGAAATACGTATTTTTTACTGTTGAATGTTATGGTAGATATTAATGATATTTATTAACTATTCAGGCGACGACAACTTATACCCGGTTAAAAACAAAGATGGTATTATAGAGACTTTTATAAATCCGAGCGTTGACGCTTCACTAACTGTAGACAATGATGCGAAGACGAACTTCGTGTATAATAGATACCACCATCTTCCCTTGGAGTCTCAGAGACAGAAGTTACCAGTTTTTCAATATCGGAACCACATTCTTTACCTTATGGAGAAATATCAGACATTAATATTAATCGGTGAAACGGGATGTGGAAAGTCTACTCAAGTACCTCAAGTAAGTTTTGTTATACATTTAGTATATGATAAATATAATAATGATTAATTATAGATTAATTTCTATATTATATAGATGTCTTTACAATTAAATTCCATTCAGATATTTTTTTGCAATACTTCATAATCATCATAGTGAGTTATAGCATAAGTGATACCTTCGAGATATAATACCTACACTTATTGGAATTATTTATTACGAGGAAAATATCACTAAATCTTTTGAATTTGAAATTGTAAGTGTTTTTGTTTTAATTGGATTGGTCATATAGAAAGATATATAGCTATTCTAATATATACATAAAATATTAACATTAGATAAAAGAAGTTAAAACACAATTATAATGAGAGGAACTTCAAATGAGTGATTCCGTCTCATACAAGATAGGTTGTGTCTTCATAGCAGATATTGAATCTGTGGAATAAAATAAGCAAATTTAATATCTTTAAAACATGGTTGAAACTTATCACTTTTATTATATACTAGCTTTCCGCCCGCAGCTTTGCCCGCATGGAGTTCGGTTATATTTCGTTTCCAAGAGAACCTTTAACAAGTCTGGGATAAAAACTATCCTGTTCTTTCTTAAGGTCAACTGTATATCTGTACCAAATTTCATTAAAATCAGTTCAGTGGTTTAGGCGTGAAAGTGTAACAGAGAGACAGACAGAGTTACTTTCGCGTTTATAATATTAGTATGGATAATATACTAGCTTTTATCCTGAACTATATGTGCTAAAAAAACAATCATAAACTTTGAAGTACCACATGCCCCTTGCATCCCACTCGATCAAATAATGTTTAATTTCGGGATCGAGATAAAAGTAGGCTAAGTTACTCTTAATTACATCAAGTACTTGCCAATAAAAGTACCATCATAATTAGTCCAGACATTTCATAGAATAACCAAAACAAAAGGACAGACATATAGACAAAATGTTATTTTGGTGTATTTACCATATATATTTTCATATGCATGTAGTTAAAAACGGTTATATTAATATCACAATCAGAAAAACTAATTTTATTTATATTTTTATAGAAAATAAATATTTATATAACTTCTCTGTAGAAAGAAATAATATTTTTCTTAGTAATAAGGACACTAAAAGCTAAACGCTTTGTAGCTTAATGGCAGTGAATATTAAATGATTTCAATTTATTTTAGTATTTTCCAATTTATAAAACTAACATTTACTGTATAATATAAAATGTATTAGACACTATATAGAGATATTATTCAGGTTTTAAAAGCATAATTTTATTTTATTAGGACATTTGATTTATTAGTATGAAATAGCTAATCATAGCTATATTTACACATAATAGATGTTCAATAGTTTAATATCATTAAACAAAATATAAGAATTTTGAGAGTTTTATTGTTGTTTCAGCAATGTTTACTATTAAAATATATTTTTAATTTAAATTCTTTTTGAAGAAACGTAAAAATAAAAAGATTTGTAATATTATTACTGTCAATAGCGCCTGCTGTATTTTAATTAGCAAAAGATGAACCACATATTGCTATATAATTATGTAAGGAGTTTATTAAAATAAATGCTTAATAGTTTCAAGTTTGATTCAATTTACAAGTTTTATATAATTTATGCTTGTAATTATCATACATTGTAAAAAATCTTATTAATATTTCCCATAAATATTCTAATAAGAAGTTAATTTTGTTTTTCTTGGCATGTTAAAGTGCTTCAAGGCTTAATGTATTTCGTCATAGGTTCAAATTTCGGTCCAAAGTTCATAAATGATTTATAAATAACTATATTAAAATTCTGTGAACATAAAATGTACTTAATTAAATATTTTTTTAACGTTAACGTAAAAAAAGGGTAGCTACATCTATCTCGTGTATGTGCGTGCGTGTATGTGTGTGTGTATGTTTATGTCTGTCTTTCTGTTCCATCGTATCTCAAACGGATCGACCGATTTTGATGCGGTTTTTTCCATGAGAAAGCTAGTTTCTTTGTGGTTTTCATCTGTTTAGTTAATATTGGTTCAAGTTTTTCTTTATATTAACATTATTATGCAGTAATCTTATAGCATATCTTTTACAAATTTGAAATTATGTATGGCAAATTTTCTTACGATTGCTCCATCGTGCCTTAATATTGCCAATATAATTATTACGTAACAATTAATGTATAATTTTGTTTTTATTTAAATAATATTTATTATATGATTATATAAACAGCTTTCTTTATTTGTGTATTCTCAACGCACTTTCTCCTTATTCAATATATATTTTCTTAATATTCACACACTATAGTACCTATTTATATTAATATTTGTCAAATTAATTATTTTTTATACTTATGACGATTCTTGTCGTAATTTATTTTAGGTGCTATTATTGGGAACCTTTTATATATATTTTTTAAAATAATTAACTGAGTATTACATAATGCATCTATTTTCTTATATATATATGTTAAAACTTCATAGTTTTTTGAAGGTGAAACGAATCTCAGTAGTCAAACCGGTTCATAGTTGATATAGTTGTGAACATACCCAAATGAATCTTGATATTAAATTGTTAGTAAAATGAATAATATTAATAGTAACAAAATTTTTGTTTCATCAGTTCAATAAATATCCATAGTTTTTGCAATAGTTAATTAATAATTTTAATATATTAGGGTTTTTATAAATTTGTTTTGATTATTTCGAAAAAGTCATAGAAATTTTTGTTTTATAATTTCCTTTCAATAATGATTAAGATAACTCTCATTTCTTTAATGTGTTATTGTATAATGATTATTCTTATCATTCTTCATCATCATCCTATCAGAGCCTATTACTGAGCAAAGGCATCTTCTCACATGGAGAAGAGACCTTTGCTCATAATTGCTTAATAAATCTTGTTTCTAATTATATTATCCAATAATATGTAGTGGTTAAAAACTTGTCTAAGGCTCTCTATTTAATAACCTATTTGCTAGTGAAATTTACCTCAAAATCAGCCCAGCCATTTCAAACATTGTCTGGGACAAACGAACAATAAAACTTTTAATGTAGTTTTATGTACCATATGTTTATTCTTTTATTCAGGTTTAGTGATAAACTATTACCTTGAAATCACATATATACAGACATTACAGTATTATTTATTAGTAACAGAATACTTGTTATTTGTGAATTTTTAAGGTAAAAATATTTTCCTCAATGAAATATTAATTAACTTAGTTGATTATATTTATCGCAATATATAAAAAATTAATATGTCATAATTTTTACATTAAAAATTAATTTTTATTTTTTATTTATATTAACATTTTATATATACAGTATATATTTTCCTCGAGTGATATAAATTTATTTCAAATGTCTTATATAAAATTATATATACATATTATGTATTATGACAACTTTTCTACAAAAACCAGCGTTTGTTAAACATTTTTTGTATTTTTTACTGTGGTTTGTTTTTCTACGGATTGTATACGAAACTTAGAGTAGAGTCAAATTTAGAGTAAGCATAGTAAATAAAAAGGACGACTTGCAATAAATAAATAAATAATTATTAACGAATATTATTTTCTTTAATTACCAACTAAATGTAATAAACAAAAATATGAATTCCTAGAAATATTTAACTTTGAATAGTCACATTAATAACCCATTATGTTTAATAACACTTAACTATTGTTACATTTAGATTAAAAAACTATTGTTTTTATCATAATTTTAGCCATTAATCTACATTTCGAACACAAAATTCAGAAGGATATTATACTAGATTTAACACTCGACTTTACTTGTTTTATTTAATTATATTCACGACTCATGAGTATTCATTTAAATGAAACTAATATTTATGTATTATTATGCATTTTTATTATTTTAAACTACATACTCCAGACCAGGGGTTCCCAACCTTTTTTAAGTTCCGGACCACTTTTATATTATTCTTGTTAGCAGGGACCACTATGTAAGTAATAAGTATAATAAAAATAAACTGTACCTGAAAATCAAACTGAAACTTTAATTAACAAATCAATAGGATATTACAAAACAAGAAATAATAATATTTTTAGGATAAACTTCTGCAATTTTGTATTAATGTGATTTCTGAGCTTGCATTTTCTTCACGAGTTCGGCTATCCTAGGACTAATATTGTTACTCAAAGCTACACGCAAATCATCACTTACTTTCAAACTATTCCTCGCTTTGTTTTTAATTACCAATAAAGCAGAAACCGTGATCACGGACAGACGAGATCAACATTTTACTTGTTTATCAGAGATTTGATCATAGAACATTTTAATTTTTTCAGTATAAATATGATATAATTACTAAAATTCTCTGCCCAGTAATTAGTTTTATATTTATAGAAACATACTCGAATTCAGCATTAAACTATCCAAGGTTTATTAAATAGTTTTCCCACGAAACTAACCTACTACTAGTGCAATACTAATTACTAGCAGTTTCTAGTCTACCGTTTATACAACTATGTTGATATTAAAACGTGTGTTCTTATTCTACTAGTTTTTGCCCGTGACTTTGTCTACGTTAGTTCCCTAATTAGAAAGTTATATCTGACAAGCGAACTGTTTTCATTTAGAGGCAGTAAATAAACAGATTTTGGATTTTATTAGCAAAATATTATTTTTTGGTTGAACGAATTCAAAAATATCCTATGTCCGTCTCCTAATTCTGATCTACCTTTCATCAAATTTCCATCCGTACAGCCGTTCTTGAATTTTAAAATAACTAACACGACTTTCTTTTATATATAGATTGGATACTACATATTTGACGTTAATGTTTAAGTATCGGGTTCAAATTAACTTCAATCGATACGTCTGTACTGTAATAATGAAAGTTTACACGCAAACGTCACAGTATTCAAGGTTAGGTTACACTTAATATATTATTAGTATCACTATTCCTACTTCCCTACTAATGTTATAAATGCGAAAGTAACTCTGTCTGTCTGTCTGTTACGCTTTCACGCCTAAACCACTGAACTGATTTTAATAAAATTTGGTACAGATATAGAGTTGACCTTGAGAAAGAACATAGGATAGTTTTTATTCCAGACTTTTAAAAGGTTCTCTTGGAAACGCGATATAACCGAACTCCACGCGGGTGAAGCTGCGGGCGGAAAGCTAGTAACTAAATAATATCAATATATATTATTCTATTCAAACATTTATTAGCTTGGGTTGTATGTATGTAATGGTATCTTTGAGTTTAATTTTCACTTATTCCTAGAAGTCTGAATAATTTGAAACTTTGCATACGTGTAAAGGACAATAAAACGAATAAATTAAACACTAAATAATTACTAATTGTCAAAAAAAATTACCTTAAAAGTCGTTAATATAGAAAATATTTCATCTTAAACTATCTTCTGATAATCTGCTTCTAATATAGATACGCGGAATTATCCAATGCTACGAGGGGAGGTCAATAAGTTCGCGGAATGAGCGGGAAGGGGGTTGAAATTTAACACGAAACTATTTTTCCTTTTCAATATAGTCTCCCTTAACCTTAATACATATTTCGGATCTCACAAATAATTTATTAATACATTCGAAAAAAATTATTTATCTTGGCTATCAAAATAGGCCGAAATTGAAGACTTGACTTCTCAAATATTTTTCACCGCAGCTTTTTTTTCATTTTTGAAAACAAATAATAGTCGCTGGGGACTAAGTCTAGACTGTAAGGTGGGTGGTGTAGTTTTTCGAGTCCGCATCGGTGAATGGCAGCCGTCGCAACATGGCACGTGTGGACTGTTGCGTTGTCGTGCAAAAGGAGCACACCTTTTGACAGCTTTCCTCTTCTTTTTTCCTTGATAGCTTCTTTCAATCTATCTAATAAAGAAGCGTAGTACTGTCCCGTTATAGTCACACCACGATCTTTATAATTGATCAGCAAAATACCTTCTGTATTCCAAAAGACAGTCGCCATGATCTTTCCGGCCGATTGTGACACTTTAAACTTCTTTGGAGGAGCTGTGCCTTTTTTATGCCACTGTATCGATTCTTGCTTCGATTCAGGTTCATAGTGGTGAACCTAGGTTTCGTCACCAGTAAAAATCCGGTCCATAACTTCGTCCTTATTCTCTCCACAGAGCTTCAAAAACTGGCGAGAACACTCGACACGATCGCTCTTTTGAAGTGGCGTGAGCATTCTTGGAATCCATCTTGCACTGACCTTAGTCATCCCAAGATGATGATGTAGGATATTAAAAATGCTTTTTTCAGATACTCTAACCATTGCTCCAAGCCGTTTCTTCTTCAACCAGGCATCTTCCAATATAAGTTTTTCTACTTTTGCGACGATTTTCGGTGTGGTGGCCTCAATCGGTCGTCCGGAGCGGGCGTCATCTTCAATGGACTCTCTTCCTTGTTTAAAAAGTCCATGCCACTTGTAAACCATGGTTTTACCAGGGGCAGAGTCCGCGTAAACTGATAACAGCTCTTAAAAATTATCTGAGCGGATTTTCCTTGCTTGGTGAGGAACTTAATAACGGCGCGGTGTTCAATTTTCTCCATACTCACTGACTTATTCCCGATTCACTTGTTTGCAGGTCAACAACTCAAAAGTTAATGACCCGATTTGGTTCAAACTTGGTATATATACTATTAATGAGGTGTTGAACAAGTTACTACCTGGACGAGTAAATCAACCCCCTCCATCCCCTCCATTCCGCGAACTTTTTGACCTCCCCTCGTAGTTACGCGGATTTGTCCTATCCTCGAATATATGACAATGCAATACTTTGATGAAAATATTCCATTATCCTTCTAAGGATCGATATAATTAATGAATTCTTTTATAGATCGTCTTTAATGGAGTGAGAGAGATGGAGCTATATAATAAATGGTAGTTAAAAAAAACGATTTTATACCTAACTAAAAAAATTGAAAAAAAAATTCAATTACAAAGAATTTATTTTAAGTCATAGTAAAAGCATTCGACTACTTTTCATATCTTTCCTCTCATAGATAGCCACTAGAGTGATTGTAACATACAATATCGATTGTAAGTGTATTACTCATTAAAATTTAAATGATTCACACAAATGTATAATCTTTAGTATAATTAATGCTTATATTTTTTTCATTAAATTATTTATTTAGCAGTTCTTTTTGGTTATTATCTATGTAGAATGGTCTGATTTTGGCGCGATTTGATAAATCTGATGCAATAAAGCGGTGTTTGTCAATCTGTGGGTCGTGACCCCTGTGGGTTTTTGGGGGGGTCGCCGGCAAAAAGAAAAAGGTGAAGTTCTACACTACAATAAAAACCAAATTTTAATAAGAAGGGATTTTTTATTTTTAAAAAGTATGTCAAGTCGTGGAGCTGTTTTTAAAATATTATCTATCAAATTAGCTTATAATTGAAGTTTATTTCTCTTTTTGTTTTGATGTCCACCATTGCAGAGAATGTCTTAACTTTAACTTGCACAAGGGGGTCGACAAAATTTTTCAACCCATAAAGGGGTCGTTATATCAAAACGATAGAAAAACACTGCAATAAGGAGTAAGTAAATAGGAAAGAAGTCGGGGTATAGTTATTAGTATCTGTTGGACTTTATATGAAATAAATTATTAATTAACTTACATGTTAATTGTATAATTGAGTTAAACATTATATTTAAAGATAAAAAGGACATACCTGATGAGCTCACGATGACTTCATCGTAAGAAAAAAATTAACACCCATAGCCACGTAGAATTTCTTTCTCTCTACATATTAAATAATAAATTGTCTATTAATATTGCAATTTAAAAATAAATGTAATTACTTTACAATTCCCCTAAAGATTTTTGTGTTAATAATCCGATTGGTAGAAATTCCGTTTCTTATAACTAACTTCTGGGTGTCATTTAATAATAAAACATTTTAAACAGTTTGTAATTCGAGAGTTAACATTCAGATACAACGCATGTATTGAGAAACTTCCTAGAAGTAGTTAAAAGTACCAAGGGAACAACGAAAAATGGTTAACAAAAGAGTATTGTACTATTACAATACATTAAATCATTTTAACTTGAACTATCACTAGTATATAAGATTAATGATTCATTAAACACAATAAATTGCGCATTATATTCAAGTAACACGAATATTATAACTAATCTTTAACCTAATTAATGTTATAGAAGTTAAAACTTAGATAATTAACATCAAAATTGAACTCCGTTACGGCTTTGTTTAACGGTTTTCTTGTACGTTCAAGGTTAAAATTTGACACTCGGGGGGAATGAGCATCGGCGCGTCAGAACGCGCGTCGCTGTAACAGAATGCGCACGCATGTTGCGGTAAAGTTAACTCGATGTTAAATTATGTAAACAATACAGTGATATTGTATTGTAGTTAAAATATAACTGTTATGTGTATTGTGAGTTATTCGCGAACTATGTCGTATAAAGTTTATAAACCACGATTCGATGAATGTGCGTTAAAATAAAAATGCATTTATTATACCGCTGGCGTGCTGTGAACGGTTTTGTTTAAGACGGATTGTTTTTAGTGAAAACTGTTGTGTTATAAATAGTGATGCCCACGCGGTATTAAACTATATGCTTATGAACTATGTTGTGTTAGATTGTTTTCGTGTTGGAAGCCCTACGAGATTGAAGCCGTAACGCCCCTCTAGTGTTAAATACAACACGCGTTTATTTTAATTCAAATCAAAATGATGTGGCCTTCATCCCAAGCTAGTAAAATATTGACATTGCTACTTTTTATAGTCGTCATATATTGTTTATATATGGACACGTTTCTATTTCTAAGGATACAGAATTACAAATTGGATATATTCGATCAATATGATAATTCAACTCAGGAGACTTCTACTCGTACGTCGAAGAGTCAGATGAATTACGAAGATGTGGTCTGGATTCCTTGCAGCGTCAATCCATTATGCCATCCTACTGTTAAATCTTTGATGGTAGATCATGTTAATCACTACATATATGGACCTCTGTGCTCGTTAGTCGATATAGGCTTGGGTATATCAGAAAGACTTTTATTTATAACGCCCAATATGATATCCGTATTCCACGTTTTCATAGCATGTGTCGGAGCTAAGCTTTTGACCTGTCAGAGTCTAGTCGCTAGAAGGATTGCGGTAGTATTATTCCAGTTGAGAATGTTTCTGGATGATTTAGATGGTCATGTAGCGAGAGAGAGGAAACATATTAAAGGGGAAAGATCTGAGGTTGGAACTCTTGGTTACTGGGTTGATGGTCTATGTGATCTTCTAGGCGTTGTGGCTATGATGTTGGGGATTTTGGTTTATTTGAAGAATAATCCCCCACGTCGCGGTTACAAAGGCACGCCAGTGAGCACGCTGCCGTATCATCAGTTGAAAGAAATAAATTCTAATGAAGATATTGAGAAAGAGAATGTTGAAATTGGTATATCATATAAAACGAAAGTCACCTTCCAAAGGATAGCTCAGATAATTGGCTTATTCTCTGGCCAGATGTTGTTATCTTCGCTAGCTTGGAATAGATATATAGATTTATACCAGGATATATTAGAAAATTCAACAGAATACGATGTATCGAGACGCGAGAGTACTTTTCGTTCTGGTGTTTTCTTCTCAGCTACATCTCTATGGAGGATAGTGAATCCTCATAGCTATTTACATCTCCTGTCTCTGTCCGTGTTTTGCGATAAAACCTGGCCATTTTTAAAAGCCGTCCATTACGCGGGATACGGCTGTTTGGTCATAACAGTTGCCATATCGGAATATTTGGTACAAAATATAAGAACTGCAGTCATAAACGGTAATGACGTGTGATTCAATGTTATTTTGATGGTATGTTAAAATGTAAGTGATCGTTTTCTATTGAAATATTTAATTAATGTTTTTTTCTCTATATAATTTATTTGTGAACTAATCGATGTGATATTTGAGCCTTATTATAATTGTTAAGTATGTTAAATCCGATTCGACTTGAATGTTTGATCAACAAATAAGTGTAAGTGCCAATATTGTAAGTTATAATATTTTATTTTTAAATCACTGCTAGTTTTTTGACTGAAACGAAATTAAGTATATCTTTTTCTAGTTTTTTAAGTCATTCTTATTTAAATAAGCGACTGTTAACTTTGTAATTCCATGTTAGTTAGTCATATGTATGAGAAACCTTTAATTTTTCAGGGTAATATATATATGAATATATTTTTATATATATAAATATTATTTTAAAATCAGTTCCGTTATATATATAAATAAATGTTATATGAATTTGTTATTAATCAAGAAATATTCATATACATGGACATAAATATTTTTGTATGCTACCAATAAAACAAAGCAATGAATTCTTAAATCAAATTATGGCAATAATTATTATTGTATTTATAATAAAAAATATGTTCCTTTGTCAATAAATAAAAAGATATTTGTTTAAATAAAATATTATTGTTATAAAAAGGTTTTATTTTATCACCTTGTATGAGGTCGAATTTAATTTACAGTCGCGTATAATCCCAATGCTAGCAATGAGATATTGGTTAAAAAAAACTATGTAACTTGAATGTAGTCTGCATTGAATTTTAACCTCGAGGTTACGCACGTTTAGATAAAGTCGGTTAAATTAACTAAAAAAAGATGATTCAGATTTTTCTTATTCATATTTATGAATCATTCGTCTATAAATATATTGTTTATAATATTTATTTTTAAACCATAGTGTCGTGTTGCGTCGTAAATCGTAATATACATATTTGAATGGTGAAAGGAGATTTGTAAAATTATTTGCATTTAAGTTGTGCTGTTTTTCGTATATTTTAGTTTTTTTTTATTTAAAATTTAAACTCTCTTGTATTTATTGTATACTGTATATATTATTTTAATGATTTAGTAAACGCTTTAGATATATTAAAATATGTAACAGTCTAGTTTAAAAATATTACTAATTTAAAACTTTCACAACGATTTTCTAATATGAATAACACATTATTATTATCTAGTCTGTTTGTTGATAGTTTTAGAAATGAAATGAAAAGATTTGTTTATATTATCGAAGTTTATAGCTATTATATATGGAAAAATATGTTTTTAGATTTTTGTAGAAAACTGGACTAATATTTGATATATCTCGTATTTAAAGACAAAGAATATTTGTACAAGAATAATTATAAGTACCATCGGGACGAAAGTACATAATATGTTGAAACAGAAGTGTAGCTCTTGCTACAGATAATTTTGATGAAATGTAATAATAATTTATTTAAAATTAATGAAATAATGACTAACAGTAAGACATCAAAATATATGATATATCTTTTTTTACAAATCCCTAATAATATTATAAATGCGAAAGTAACTTTGTCTGTCTGTCTGTTACGCTTTCACGCCTAAATCACTCAACTGATTTTAATGAAATTTGGTACAGAGATAGAGTTGACCTTTAGAAAGAACATAGGATAGTTTTTATCCCAGACTTTTGAAAGGTTCTCTTGGAAACGCGATATAACCGAACTCCACGCGGGCGAAGCTGCGAGCGGACAGCTAGTTATTAATAAACCATTTTTAAGTTAAAATCAATCTATATATAAAAAATATTTTCTTCATACATATTCGTTAGCTATAAGATTTAAATGCATTTTCTTTGTAAGGTTTTCATTCTCAAAGTTATTTTCTTGTCTAGTTTTCGCTGCGTATCGATCTTGTTCATTATACATACATTGGCAGTCATCCTAAACGACGTAGCGGCGACATTTGACTTATGTACATACATATTTTTGCCTATGACTTCGCCCGCGTTTAAAGAGTAAAAAACTAAAAAGTAAAAATGTATGAAATTTATTTATATATATGGAAACTAAACTATAACTATAGTCATTGGCGCTTGAGTGTATGCAAAATAATGTTGTGTTCCTAATAATACGTATAAATTTTTGATACGGCTATAACATTTTTATAGTTTTCGTGTAAAATCGTAACAGAATTCCACACAAACATACATACAATGACGTTGTATGTATGTCGTGTTATCGATAGAACAATTCGCTCGTGTTGTGATAACCAGAAAATTTTATTGTGAAAAGCCGCACGGAATTAAGTTTCCTACGATAAGGTTTTACTTTCAGAATTGTATTTTACTGAGCTGATCCACTTTATTTTACATATATCGGAATACTAGTTTCGCCCCGCGGTGTTACACGCGGATTTTCGGGATTTAAAGTAGCCTATGTGTTATTCCTGGACGTCAACTTCCTGTATACAACATTTTATCAAAATCGGTTCAGCCGTTTGAGCGTGAAGAAATAACAAACATACACATACACTCACAAACTTTCGCAATTATAATATTAGTAGGGTAAATTATCATTTAATATAATGAGATCTAAGATTTTCGCAAGTTATATTCATTTAAATGAAACTAATATTTTTTTGAACTAAATTCAAATCTTTGCCAGTGATCAATGTTGCTGAAAAGTAGTCGCAACGTCGGGAGTATGTAGTTTTTAACAAAAATAAAGTCGCGAAGTATATCGCAAAAATATTAGTTTCATTTAAATTATTATTTAATCTATTCAAATTCAATTATCATTACTGAGGTTATATAATAATCATTTAATATTTAATTTTATTATTTTTATTGAAGAGTTTGTAAATGTAAGTTGTTTTATTGTGTTACATTTTCGATACTGATAACGTAGTTAAGAGGGTTGACACAGTTTTTCATACACCCTGTATACAAATTAATTATAATAAATTCAATAAAGATCAAAACCCTTGGCGATTGAAAATAAAACAGTTTTGATTTAGTAAGTACAGTGTAACAAACAAACAAACAGACTTGTATTCACAATGATGGTACATTCTTTGAAACGATAGTCTTCAAATACGTATTTTCTTGGAAATGCAATCGAGGCCAGAAATTCGAATTATTACAGGTCAAAGCACTTAATCTTCTATTCTACTTCTGTTATTCTGTATTCTTCTTAACACGTTCTCTTATTCTCTTCTATTTTTTTCTCTTTTCTCATCCTCCCAATCTCATTTAATCTTTCCCGAAATTCGTACATATCTATGGTCCTACTGGAAGCATGAACAAAGTTTGATTATATGTAAATATGATTGTACAAGAATCAGTTCCAATGGCTAAGTAATAATAAAATAGGATTTGTAAATCATGACTAAAATCTTTTGATCGACTTACATAGCAATAATTCAGTAATCTATAAAATTTCTAACTATCCTCAAAATCAATAGGAACAGGTTACTTATATCTAGACAGACAGATATACAGTTGCTTCTAGTAAACACAATTTAAGAATAATTTAATATATTTACCGTAATAATTAATATGTAAACAATGAACATGTTTAAAATACGCTTTGACTGTAGTACTTTTGGGAATATCTTTATATACTGTTATCCCTACTTATATTAATTTTAGAAATGCGAAAGTAACTGTCTGTCTGTCTGTTACGCTTTCACGCCTAAATCACTGAACTGATTTTAATGAAATTTGGTACAGAGATAGAGTTGACCTTGAGAAAAAACATAGGATAGTTTTTATTCCAGACTTTTGAAAGGTTCTCTTGGAAACGCGATATAACCGAACTCGCGGGCGAAGCTGAGGGCGGAAAGCTAGTATTTATATAATTAGATAGCTTTAATTATCTATCTATGTCTATCTCTATCTAAATCTAATAAACAAACGATTTATTTTAATTTAATTTGTACTACACTAAGGTTTCATTGTAATTATCTGTCATCTTCAGTCATCTATACACCATAAATCTATTATTATGGTCGTCATGACCTTCAAATTCATTGAAGGTTTTATTTTGTAGGTCGTGAAGTACACTAAGACGTGTAAGAAAAATCCAAGCATCTTTAAATTAATATTAATAAGAGTTACGTGATTTTTATATCATCCCAAAAAAATATGATTGAGAATTACTTATATTAAAGTCTTAAGTTATATAAATATATTCATTTGCTAGAATTTTTTATATTGAACGAATTATTGTCCACGTTAAATTAGGAATTGCTCATATATGTATAGCTGACCGGGCGAAGTGTATTCCGCTCTAGAGGCCGTAAATAAGCAAATATTTGAATTTATTAAGTTTTTTTTTCTGTTTAGATTGAATAGATGTAAATATCCTATGTCTGTTTCCTAGTACTAATCTATCTTCTCACCAATTTCCAACCATATCCCTACAGCCGTTCTCGAGTTATAAATAGTGTAACTAAAACAACTTTCTCATATTTAGAGTTAATTTAAATTAATTACAAATAATCGTCATATCAAATTATTTGTTCAAAGAATAAGAATTGATAAGACGATGACGTCATCAATTAGGGAGATCATTCCGACCAATTATGTGCGCTATCATCTCATAATTATATTAAGCAAAGTTTTGTATACAGGGTGTGTAAATTTGTACATACACTTTAGTGTAAGCTTAAATACAGCCTGTATAAGGTACATTCTCATGACAGCTGTCAAAGTTTGATAGATGTCACTTGATGTGACATTTGACAGATATAGATAAATAAGCAATGGTTTTTAAAATTTATGCTCATATATGTATATTTTGTATAGCAGAGAAAATTATTAGGTATTATCTCATGGTCTTCCATTTACAATATTAATGTTAAATAGTTTATGGTATTTTAAATAAATTACTGTTAAATAGTTTAAAGATATTTTGAAACGTATGTACTTCTTTTTAAGTCAAAATATATTAATAGCTATATATAACTATAACCCGCGGCTTCGTCTGCGTAAAAAGAGAAAAAACAAAAACCTTTTAAGCGTCCCGTACGTTCTGAATCCCACTCGTGATAACACTTAATTTCGGGATCGGGATAAAAAATAGCCTTAGTTACTCCTTATTACATCAGCTACCTGCCAGTAAAGGTCCCGTCACAATCGGTCCAGCCATTCCAGAGATTAGCCGGAACAAACAGACAGACAGACAATAATTGTATAAAATGTTATTTTGGTGTATGTGCCGTATACATACTTATATGCATGTAGTAAAAACGGTTATTTCAATATAACAAACAAACACTCCAATATTATTTATTTATATATATTTAATTGGATTACAACAAAAAAATAATCAATCACTATACAGCGAAATATACTATACATAGTCTAGGAGCCAAATCATACATTTTCGATCTCCAAATATAAATAAGCATATATTAGTTTTTGTTTCTTAAATCTATGAAACCGGTTTAGCTCGTGCTCAAAGGACGGGTATAGTATAGTAGTACCATGTAGTGCCAGGCGCGGAATGATTTGAAAATACACTTCAAGGAACGCACACATTTGGTTATAAGAACTACTTATATATATAGTTTATAAGAGGTACTTGAAATAAATTTAAATTTTATACATATACAAATATGTATATTCACACACATATATATACAGGGTGACTGGTGAATTACTATCGATATTTGAGGACGTGATATTTGACGATCATATATGACGAAATAAAAATTAATATATCATAAATATTAATAAACTTCTAAGTAAAGTTAACCAAAAGTTGTGTAATTAATTACGCATCGTGTAAACACCCTACAGATTAGGGATACTAGATTATATATATATATATATGTACATATGTATTTAAATTATGGTGTATGTATGTGTATGAAATTTATTTTAAATAATTATATAGTTTTTATTGTTAGATATTTCTGTATTTCAATATGACGAAAGCTGTCATTACTAATATGCGTTTCTTCAAAGTATAGTTTTGTAGTATAAATATTGTCGACTGTCGTAAACATACATATGTAGGTCTAATTAAGGTTGCCTTTATCTTAAACTGGAAACTAGGTTTACTTTTAAATGTATAAAGCAAGAATTTGTATTTCATTTCCGTTACATACGTTAAACAATATTTTTTTTAAAGTAATGATAATATTCATGTTGTTAAAATTCGTAAATATAATTAATTAAACATTTTAATATTCTTATCAACATTGTTCTCAATACAACATTTATACATACAAATATTATTAGCACTTATATTTTAACAAAATTCTACAGTTCTAAAAGATCCTAACATATTCCAACAATTATTCCATAAAAAAAAGAATATTTTCATCGGATGCGTAATTCCTGGAAAATGGAATGGATTCTGTTGTATAAACAGCGTCATTCCATTCCACGTTTCCACAAAACACACGTGTATAATTAGGTCGTTTAAAAATACCCACCAACATCGGGTCCGGTTATAAAAATAAATGTGGCGTTGGATTTCTTATATTCTATTATATCCAATCTAATTATTATTGAAGTACATTCATAATGAAAAATATCATAACTAAATGGGGTCTAGATAGGTTTTAAGAATGATTAAGATTGAATTAAAGTAATTAATGGTAATTTTATTTAAAAGTCTTCCAAAAAACACGATTAAATAGCAAAAAAAAGTCAATTTGTTTTTTATTTGTCAAAGAATTTAAGACGATCTTCGCTGTACATAATTTTATGTATGTGTGTATAGTCGGGGATAGTGTAAATCCGCGTAACTAGCATTGGATAACTCCGCGTATCTACATTAGAAGCAGATCATCAGAAGAAAGTTTGAGCTGAAATATTGTCTATAGTAACGAATTTTAAGGTAATTCTTTCACAATTAGTTATAAATTAAACACTAAATAATTACGAATTCTGATAAAATTACCTTAAAATTAGTTTATGTATAAAATATTTCAGCTTAACTTTCTTCTGATAATCTGCTTCCAATGTAAATAGGCGGATTAACATTGCACTATCCCTATATATGTAATTGTATTATGTATATCTTTTCAGTATATGTACGAAGTTGGCCATAACGTCTGTGTTACCCAGCCCAGAGTAACAGCAGCCGTGTCCCTGGCTTGTAGGGTAACTGAAGAGAGGGGAAGTACCCTAGGGGAAATAGTGGGGTACGCGGCTGGTATGATATCTATACGAGCACCAAATACTCCTATTGTGGTGAGTATACAATAAAGATACTTATAGCTAAGTCGTGGTGGCCTAGTAGTTAAAGGTCTGCCTCTCACACATGAGGGCGCGGGTTCGAAATTTGGCAAGTACCAATGTGATTTTTCTGAGTTATATGTACTTTATAAGGGTATTTAGACACCACTGGGCGCAGGTTCGAAATTTGGCAAGTATAAATGTGATTTTTCCGAATCATATGTACCTACTTTATAAGAGAATTTAGACATCACTGACAGATGAAGGAAAACATCGTGAGGAAACCTGGACTTATAATATCAAATTATAAGTTTGATATCACCAACCCGTCTTGAACAAGCGTGGTGATTAACGCTCAAACCTTTTTCATATGAGAAGAGGCCTTTGCTCAGCAGTGAGCTCTGATAGACTGATGATGATGATGATGATAGCTTAGTATACCAAGACTCTTTAAAACCAGATGTTGTAGGTTCGATTCCTGTTAATTAATTTATTATTATGTATTATAAATTTCTATTTTATGTTATAGTTTATAAATACTTAAGCAAAAATATAATTGAAGCTATTATATATTGTACGTATATGTCTTAATAAATATATGTAAAAATAAATGTCCAAAGACTTTTATCACTTCTACTGTAAAAAATATTTGTTGGTATATAAATTATACAAACGAGACAATCAAGGAACAATAATAATATTAAATTCTAAGAGTAATTTTGCTGTTTAAAAAATTTATAGATAATTTATCATTATCTAAGATTTTTGCGAGCATTCGTTTAAATAAAACTAATAGTTTCGGTTGTATTATCGATGATGTAAAAAAATCGAAACGGAGAGTAGTACATATGTTGTTAAAAATAATTAAAAAGTATTATATTCGATAACATAAGTTTTAATCAAGTTTTGATGGTAATAATATTTCTTGTTTTAAAAAATTTAAAATAGTTATAAATTTTCAAAAACGACGAAGTTAATTTCACTATAATTGAACAAATATTACTTCATGAGAACTTATAAAAATGAAAATAATTAACAATATCTGATTTAACAGATGAATCAATAATTGAGTCATTCATAGTTTTATCTAACACCTGCAAAAAAATTGTATTATCTTGTTAACACCTGCATAGAATATTATTATCTTTGAACACCTGCATACAAAAATATAAACTTGTAACACCTAAGCGCTCAAGTACCTCTAAATATAAGTTAAACAATTGCTATATATACATGATAATTGATAAGTCATAATATAAAAAAAACGTCGATAGTTGTTTAAATAAAACATTGTTTTATTATGAAGAACTGTAAATTTGTTCTCATAAAAATATATTCGATATATATGTAGATATAGGTACCTAAATTAAATAAACGTTTGTACGTATGTTAATTACGTGAAAACGTATGAACTAATAAGACTTATATTAATACCAGATAATAATCTTATTGTAGTTCAAATTGATTTTCAATAGATGTAAAATTTAAAATTTTTATTAATATCAAATAATGCTGTTTAATACGTACGTAGTTGGAATATATAATTAGTTTATTTGATGGAATTATATTTATTTTATAAAGACCGGATTGATTGCGTGTAACCATGGAATAAATAATAACAATGAAAATTAAAGTCTCGTTTCTTGTTATTTTTTGATATTAATTTAGGTTAAAGGTCAAAAATTGACGTGTAATATTTTATACTAACATAAAACTGTGGGTAGTTTGTAAAAATACGAGTCGTTATGTAGATTGTAGAAGATAATACGAATATCAGAAACGGCTTTAATGATTTGATATATTTATAGGAATTTTTGTGGAAAAACTTAATTAAAATTTTCGTTTATAACAGGGTTTTTTAACCTTATTCGTATCTAGGCCTTTTAGTTTGAAGAAATTTGTCATAATATTAATTTCATATACTATAATGATTACTCAATTGATTTGGTTAAACTGAGTAGAATCATATAAACCATTATTTTGATAACTGAAATTTAATATTAAGCTATGTACTTTTTTAAAGGCTACGTATTTAGTTATGAGTCTACTTGAACATATGAAAACGCGGGCAAAGTCACGTGTATTTAGACAGCACTGACAGACGGTGAAGGAAAACATCGTGAGGAAAGCTGGACTTATAATTTCAAATTATAAGTTTGAAATCGCCAGTCAGCCCTGAGCAAGCGTAGTGATTAATGCTCAAACCTTCTCCATGTGAGAAGGGGCAGCTCAGCAGTGGGCTTCTGATAGGCAAAGTCACGTGCAACAAATAGTATCTTATATGTTTTATAAGCTTCGTTATTAATCATTCTATACTTGAGCATTATTATTAATTTTAACAATGGTACCGATGTTTTATTTTACAAAGGAAATGTTCGTATTATAAAATGTTATTCTTATAAATCATTGTTATTTAAATAGCGCTGTTGAGACGTTTGAAACACAATGATGTTAAATATTGAGAAAGATAATTCACAATGAAAGGAAACGGCCGATGTTTTGACTAAAATGTTTCTTTTTCTTAACTTCTATTTGTAACAAGCAAATAAAGTGACATATTTTTAGTCTTTTTGAATAATGATTTTTCGCTTTCGCTTACTATTGTCTTCACAGTAAAGTAAGAAGAGGCGTTTGCTCAGTAGCGGGATCCGATAGACTGATGTTGATAAATATTTTTCGGATTACTACGCGTTAGTTTATTATATTCTCTATCCGTGATCACGGTCGCTTCGAAGTAACCGAATGGTCGGGAGTATGTAGTTTAAAATAATTAAAAAAACGCGTTGTACATCTGAAGAATTTAAAATATGTTTAAATTCAAAAACTTTCTTATATCTACAATATATATAAAACATTGAAAGGAAATAGAGTATTTGTAACCCAATCTCTGAATCGGTAAGTCGTACCGAAAAACAATGCCCCATTCAAATTTCAAACTTGCTACGACCGGTTCAAATTGACAAACGGTTTAAATAAAACGCTAGTTACAATGCTAAGGAGTAATTAAATGGAAAGTTATGTTAGAGTAATTATCATCATCATCAGCCTATCAGAGCCCTCTGCTGAGAGGCCTCTTCTCACATGGAGAAGGTTTGAGCATTAATCACCACGCTTGCTCAAGACGGGTTGGTGATTTGAAATTATACGTCAAATTTTCCTCACGATGTTTTCCTTCACCGTCTGTCAGTGGTGTCTAAATACTCTTAGAAAGTACATATGACTCGGAAAAAACACATTGGTACTTGCCAGGATCGAACCCGCGCTCTCATGCGTGAGAGGCGGGTCTTTAACCACTAGGCCATCACGACAACATACATATAATATATGTATATACATGAATACATAAGTTTTTCACTATTTCATTTCAGTTTATGACGGAAGGTGTCCTATTACGAGAGATGTTTGCTTCGCCCCTCTTGATGCAATATTCTTGTATTGTTCTTGATGAGGTACGTATTTCTATTTATTAAAGGTACTCGTATGCGTTATGAAAAGGTACTCGTACATCTTACAAGTAAGAAGTATAATTTCATTAATGACGTAATCTTTATTTATTTATAAGAAAGTCGTGTTAGTTTCACTATTTATCACTCAAGAACGGCTGTACGGGTTTTCCTGAAAATTAGTGGAGCGATAGCTTAGAACCAGGAGACGGACATAGTATATTTAACTCTGTTCTATCAAAAAAAATAACAACTTAATGAATTCCAATATCTGGTGGAATAGAATTTGCCCGGTCAGCTGTGCATATGTATATTACTAATTCCGAAATTAATGCGAAGTCGCGGGTGAAAACTTGTTATTATATGTATAAAATAAAAGTTAAATTATTAAATGATTGTCTGTTCCTACAGATAATAATCTAGCCAAAACACACTCGTTCAAAGTGAATCAGTGTTAATATCATGTTATGTTTGTTTAATTTTTAACTTCCTATAACTGTAAATGTTTTGACACACGATCCGATAATGATTTTTATAACGCAATACAATAAAACTTTATTATATTCGTCGTTCGATAGTTATAAAATTCAGATTTGAAAGAAGTTATTTTTCCATAGAATCTAATGATTTTTTTGTATGTTCGTTATTTCTAACAAATATTTGCAATAAAAATATCAGCTTGTCACTTATATCTTTTAAAGTTTAAGTAGGCTATATATTTCATAATTTCTTCCATGAATAAATTTTCTATTCCCCAACAAAAAAAAAATCCATAAATATTAAAATTACTATCAAAACTAAATATCATGTGTACAAATATTAGCTAGTGCAAATGTAAAGTCTAGTGTCATTTTGGTTAGCTTTTCAATATATTATACAATAACTTTTTCCCGTGCTTCGTCTATGTTAATTTCGGAATTAGTATTATTAAATATCCTATGTCCTTTCTATTTTCTATACTACCTCTCCACCGATTTTCATCCATATCCGTACAGCCGTTCTACAGTTATAAATAGTGTAACTAACACAACTTTTATATATATTTTACAGTCATGATAACGTTTGTTCGAGTGGCCATATAGATAATAACTATATGCAGTTATCATATATATATCGATTTTTCTGAAACTAAAGATGAAATTATGCGTACAAAAACCACAACTTTAATTTGAGTAAAGAAAACGTTACATGAAACAGAGTATACAATATACTGTCTCAATATATGTATATATATTAGCTGAGCCGGCAAATGTGTTTTGCCATATAAAAACATAGGGTTAGTGATAAAATACAATATTAAAAATTATGTATATTTTAATGCCACATTATAAAAAATAAAAAAAATATTCAAGGTTGAACAACCCTTATCACTAGGTATGAAAAATAGATAATAGCCGATTCTCAGACCTACTGAATACGAATATAAAATTTGGTAAAAATTTCGGAGGAGTATAGGTACTAATATTGTGACATGGGAATTATATATATACTAGAAGACCCGGCGAACTTCTTATCGCCCTATAATCAAGAAATATCTGTTACGTTTTTTATTTATATTTTGTAGTTTAGCTATTAAAGCCATAAATCTCCGTGTTTTGAAGTGCGACGGAATGATTGTCATATTAGTTAGTTGTCAAATCTAATGTCGAAGAAAAACGTTTGTGTCAAATACTACTAATAATTTAAAAATTAATTGAAAAAACATTGTCCAGCGGACAAAATTGTGAATTTAAACCATTCCCAGATCTCCTTGAAAACACACAAAAAATTTCATCAAAATCGGTCCAGTCGTTTGAGAGAAGTTGAGTGACATACACACTCACAGAAGAATTATATATAGTAGATGATAACAGAGGAAATATGTGGGTGTTATCCTGATACTTTATTTATAAATGTAAAAACCCATTCGTATATATATGTGATATGATATTTAAACGAGAAATAAAATAATGAATTAATTTCAAATAATTAACAGATTTTTCCTTGTTATTTATTTTTATTAGATTTTGTTCTTAACATGATCAAATGAATTTAAAACAAATTTCAGGTACACGAGAGATCTCAAATGACGGATGTATTAATGGGTCTGTTGAAGAAAATAGCAAGGGTATGTTTTATTACTTACTAGTTTTCCGCCCGCAGCTTCGCCCGCGTGGAGTTCGGTTATATCGCGTTTCCAAGAGAACCTTTCAAAAGTCTGGGATAAAAACTATCCTATGTTCTTTCTCAAGGTCAACTCCATCTCTGTATCAAATTTCATTAAAATCAGTTCAGTGGTTTAGTCGTGAAAGCGTAACAGACCCAGACAGACAGAGTTACTTTCGCAATTATAATATTAGTAGGGATTAACATGACGTTTAGCGTATGCGAACTCATAGTTTCATTCCAAAATATAATTAAAATTGTTCTTTTAATTACTATATTATTGATGTATATGTTTGTTTTTTTCAGAAACGTAAAAATCTGAAACTAATTATTTCTTCTGCGACGATGGATGCTGATTTTCTTAAGGATTACTTTAATTTAAACAAGGATAAGACGAATAGTACGTCTGTTGTCATGTCGATGCAGGGACGAACACATCCCATAGATATATTCTTTGTTCAAGGTAAAATATTATATTATAACACGCATATAGAAATATTCATAATTATAACCCACATATCCAAATCGTAAGAGTTTTAACCCCTTATAGAAATATTATCAATACAGAAATATAAGTTTGATTATCTCAAATGAAATTTGTCCTTATATAAGATATTTAGTAAGTGTTTTGGATTCACGTAATAATAGTTTTATTTTAACCAGCATTTTTAACTCTTTATTAACTATCATTAAAAGTTACTTATATGTTTAAAAGTACTGAAATTAAGTATATAAATTTTACTTTTGAATATAATCTATGGTAAAATGTGACATCATTTTAAACCCAAAAATGGTGGGCTATACATTCTGCAATATGAATATCAAAAGAAATTTCTTTCTAAGAATGTTAAAAGTAATTCTTATTTTTAATCATTGTTTTTATATTGTAGAACCAGTTCCTGATTATGTTAAAGCCACAGTAGATTCTGTCATTAAAATACATGAGAACGAACCTTTTGGTGATATATTGGCGTTTTTAACGTCTCAGGTAAGGAAATAGTTACTTAACAGATTTTGATAAAACTTTAGTCACTACCATGTTTGAGTAAATGAAATACTTCGCGTGATCAACGGTTCTAGTTTAATACATGCAAAACCGTTGTCAAATTATAGTATTATAAATACGTGTATACAAAAAAAATGTCATATAATTCTCAAAAATGCAAAAACTAGACACATTTTGATGTATTTTATGTTATTTTTGATCATTTAAATCTATTTTCACCTGATATTATCTAAAATAATATGCATTTTCTTTCAGGAGGAGATATTAACAGCATTAGAAAGTTTACAGAGTTACGCGCAAACAAACAATCAGACTAACAAGAGCCATTTTCCTAGTGGTATTTCTCGTAGTACGATGATAGTACTACCTATGTACGGTAGTCTGCCGTACTACAAACAAATAAAAGTTTTCCAAATAGATAGGAATGTTAGGAAAGTAGTTTTAGCGACAAATATAGCCGAAACTAGCGTCACTATACCGGGAATAGTTTATGGTACGTATTTTAGTTAGTTGTATTAGCTTAGCTTGTTTTAGTTAGTTCTATCAGCTTAGCCTGTTTTAGTTACTTGTATTAGCTTAGCCTGTTTTGTAAATGATATTAGCTTTTAACAATGAAAGTGCAAACTTTATGAATGTAAACTGATATTTAACTAAAAATACCTATGTTATGAATGTAGTCCTAATTTTATCCCCTCTTTTAGTTAAACTAAACTAAATTCAAGTTAAAACGATCTAATTGTTCCGTTTTTTCATATATATTCCAGTAATAGACAGCGGGTTCCACAAGTTGCCTCAGTACGACATATCTTTAGGTGTGGAGGTTTTGTGTGTGTGTGTCGTGTCTAAACATAATGCGACCCAACGGGCGGGGCGAGCGGGCAGAACTAGTGCGGGGAAATGTTATAGGTAAATATATCTTCTTCTTCTACCTGGCAATTTCCCAGCTTTAGCCAGCGTCTGCCTTACATGTTGTGAATAGTTTTGGCTAATTGTTTTACGACCGGCCGTCTGCCTGATATCAACCCTCTTTTAGGAATCAACATTAATCAATGTCTAAAGACTCTTAGAAGTACATATGACTCGGAAAAATCACATTGGTACTTGCCAGGATCGAAACTGCGCCCTCATACTAGAGCCGGGCCTTTTAACCACTAGGCCACCGCTGACTTAATTTAAGTTGCTAATTTTATTTTAGGTTTAGTTTCGTTATTTTAGTGGTTAAAAATAGTTTTAGGTTTAGTGTGATAGTTTAAGTTGTAACAGTCATTTTTAGGTTTAGTCTGATGGTTTTAGTTGTAACAGTTCATTTTAGGTTAAGTGTGATAGTTTGGGTAATTACTTTTTTTTAGTTTAGACCCAGTTTCTCCAATCATTGTTAAATAAGTAACATCGTGTTAAGGCGTTTGATGCTCTGTTAGATGTATCGAGCGTCCCACCACGTACAAATGTCCGTTTAAATGTCTTAACAAGCCACTAATATTAATTCCTGCTCTGGAGCTCCGTCTAATGGCTAATAGAATGTTAATGCATTGTCAAAACTCAATTGTCCAATCACAGCCCTGATTTCTTGTAACCATAGTAACGTCATCTGTTTTGTCAGTTTCGACTATTTCCTTGTACTTAATAATAAATTGAACTAAAATTTCATAAGTATGATGATTTTGCCTACAGCTTTTCTTTGACGTTGCAAATTAAGTTTTCTTTTTATCTCTTATAATTTGAACACAATTTATGTATATATTCATAACACAATATATTGACAACACGATTTTGACAAGTTACACTTAGTAAATAGAAAAGAAAGCTTTTTGTGTGCTAAATGTATGCAACCAACGATATATAAAATTTGGTCGCATTAGCTTACAAGTGACGTATCGAGGGATATATACGATCAAAGTATAAAGTGGTGCATCGTGGCAAAACGTGCCGTGTTAAACGCTATAGTTTCCATTTGGTCGTCTTATAACAAGAACGAATAATTTGGAAGTCGGTCATTTGACATGACGTTTAGTAATGTGTTGTTAATTTGTCATCGTGGGACGTAAATATTTTAACAGACATTTATAATTTTGAAGGTTGGTTAGTAAATGCTGTGATTAGACTAAACAAACATTGATTGGTGAAACTGGGTCTTAGTGTGGTAGTTTTAGTTGTTACAGTTATTTTAATTTTAGTTGATATGTTTACTTTTAGTTTAAGTGTATAAAATTTTAAGGTTTTCTCTATCTTTAAATGAAACTAATATTTTCGGATTAACTACGCGTTTTTTTATTTTTGATTATAAACTACATACTCCCGACGTTTCGGCTACTTTACAGCAACCGTGATCACGGGCAGACGAGATGTGGCAAATCTTAGTCAAAAATAAAAAAACGCGTAGTTAATCCGAAAATATTAGTTTCATTTAAATGAGTACTCGCGAAAATCTTAGATTTCTCTATCTTTAGTTTGGTTTAATATAAATTAAAGTAGTACAGTAATATATTCTTCAACCAATTTTAAAATAATATTATAAAAAATTCTCTGTTTAACTATTTAATGTTATTATTACAGATTGTACACCGAGGCCGAGTTCGATAAACTTCCTGAGAGCGTCCCTCCTGAGATGTGTAGGAGTGACCTTACGTCCGTACTGCTGAGATTGAAGGCTCTCGGGATTGATAACCTATTGAAGTGAGATACACACACGCACACACACAGACACAAACACACACGCACACACACACACAGTGCGTCTGTTAAAGGCTGCAAGTCCTAAGTCATCTTTTAAAATACGCGACATAGTTCGACATACTAACTTTATCTCCCGAGATAAAATCTTTTGCTTTCGGATAGGATTATAGGAACATTTGACTTATCCCAAGCGTGTGGAGAGTATTAAAAATTCATTTTGGCTCAATATCGCAAAATATTGAACAATTTATTAGCGCCAAAATAAGAAAACAATGAAAAATTATATAAAAATGACAGATTCCAAATTCAAATGTAATATTTTGTTTATTTTTAATTGTAACAATATTTAATGCCAGACCATAGCCCTACTAATGTTATAAATGCGAAAATGACTCTGTCTGTCTGTTACGCCTTCACGCCTAAACCACTGAACTGATTTTAATGATATTTGGTACAGAGATAGAGTTGACCTTGAAAAAGAACAGGATAGTTTTTATCGCAAACTTTTGAAAAGTTCTCTTGGAAACGCGATATAACCGAACTCCACGCGGGTTAAGTTGCGGGCGGAAAGCTAGTACTCATATAAAGCTATATTCACAACTTAACTATAATTATTAACAAGAACATATCAAAATACCTATATATATATTTTTATTCATATTTATCTTAATTTTGACTAAAATTTAACTAAATTCATTCCAGGTTTACATTTCCAACCCCCCCGCCGGCTAAATCTCTTCTATCTAGTATAGAGATATTGTACGCGTTACAGGCGATAGATAAAGAAGGGGTTTTAACCCCTATGGGGGTTATTATGAGTGAACTACCATTGAACCCCATGTGCGGCAGAATGATATGTGCTAGCGGTGAGTTGGTTACTATGTACTAACTAAAATAGATATTTAGTTTGGTATAAGAAATTATATTTTTTTTGTTTATAAGGTACAAGCTTTCCGCCCGCTTCGCCCGCGTGGAGTTCGGTTATATCGCGTTTCCAAGAGAACCTTTCAAAAGTCTGGGATAAAAACTATCCTATGTTCTTTCTCTAGGTCAACTCTATGTCTGTACCAAATTTCATTAAAATCAGTTCAGTGGTTTAGGCGTGAAAGCGTAACAGACTGACAGAGTTACTTTCGCATTTATATTATTAGTAGAGATTATTATAAAGAAACTTTGGTTAAATAATTTCACCTATAATATGATTATTATTATTGTTATTGATAGATTCCAAAAATTCTTTTGTTTATGTTCAATATATTTAAAGTTTATATTGTTCAGTCTTCTCCCACAGAATGCTGTTTATAATACTTATGATTTTCTTAAAAGTTTAATCAAAATCGATATATTTTTTATTTCAGCGGAGTATGGTTGTGTGGATGAGATTCTGTCTATAGTGTGTATGTTACAAGTTGACGGAATATTCATAAAGACGGGAGGGAGAAATGCGGCAACCGCTAGGATTAATAAGAGGAATAACTTTGAGGTAAACGTATATATATATATACTAATATATATTCTAGAAGACCTGGCGAACTTCGTATCGCCCTATAATCAAGAAATATCTGTTACGTTTTTTTATTTATATTTTTGTAGTTAACCTATTAAAGCCATAAATCTAAGTGTTTTGAAGTGCGACAGAATGATTGACATATTAGTTGTCAAATCTAATGTCAAAAAAAGCGTTTGTATCAAGAACTACTAATAAATTAAAAATTAATTAAAAAAACATTGTCCAGCGGACAGAATTGTGAATCTAAACCATTCCCAGATCTCCTTGAACACACACAAAAAATTTCATCAAAATCGGTCCAGTTGTTTGAGAGAAGTTCAGTGACATACACACTCACAGAAGAATTATATGTATAAAGATATTGTATATAATATACTAGTATTTACCCACGACTTCGTCCGCCATTATTTCGGAATAAGTAATTGTTAGTTTATATAAAAATAATACAACTAGCGCCATCTAGTGGTAAATATGTAAGACACATGTAATAGTTTAGTTTTGTCTATGAATAAAGATAGTTTATTTTGGCGTAACAATCAAGCATGTTGTTTTATTAGTAATATATGTATAGCTGACCAGACGAAGTCTATTCTATCTAAGAGGCCAGAAATAACCAGATATAGGAGTTTATTAAGTTTTTTTTTATCTGTTTCTATCGAACAGTATTTAATATTTATCTCTCCAACAATTTTTAATACAGAGTCACCATATCAATACATTCGTTCTTGAGTCCAATAGTGTAACTAACATAACTTTATAACCACCACTAATTAATAGATCAATTGATATTTATATATTGATTATTATATTATGTCCAATAAATTATCATTTATTAAAATTGTTTTTACTTCATTATGTGTGTAAAATTTGTTAAATGTTATCTTTTATAAGGAATCTCTGATTTCTATCATATGCAATTTTTAAATACTTCATGTAATTTTTTTTCACTTTTTGGATTGTTTATATGATTACCGAAAATAGTGCTCATAAAGGTCAATCAATTTTCCCTTTAATTTCAACACTAGATCAAAATATTTATATTACTACTAGAAGACATGGCGAACTTTGTATCGCCCTATAATTAAGAAATATCTGTTACGTTTTTTTATTTATAATTTTGGAGTTTACCTATTAAAGCCATAAATCTCCGTGTTTTGAAGTGCGACAGAATGATTGATATATTAGGTAGTTGTCATATCGAATGTCAAAAAAAAACCTTTGTATCAACAACTACTAATACATTAAAAATCAATTAAAAAAACATTGTCCACCAGACAAAATTGTGAATCTAAACTATTCCCAAAACCCCTTGAACACACACAAAAAATTTCATCAAAATAGGTCCAGTCGTTTGAGAGAAGTTCAGTGACATAAACACTCATAGAAGAATTATTTATATTACTATAATATTTATGACTATTTATTAAAATATTTAGTGTTAAATATATCTTTAAATTACATTTTCAGGTAGCTGAAGGCGATATTATAATGTACTTGAACATTTTGGATGCGTACAGGAAAATAAAATCGAAATATGACGAGAAAAAGATGAAAAGAGCAAGCAGAGACTGGTGCCAGAAGATGTATCTGAATTATAGAGTGCTTGAAAAGGTATACACACATATATTTTATTTTATTTATAGCCTTTTATTCAGATCTTACAAATAAGTGTTTACAATAAACTATCTTAAAAATAAACATAATATCTTAAACTTAATAAGCTACTTAAACTAATATCTGTTCCTTGGTTAACATCGCTAGATCTGTTTGCCAGTCGGCAAAGGCCTCCTCCAATTTTTATTATTCTTGTTTTTTTGTTTTATTTTTATTTATGGTGGTTACTGTTTTTCAATCTTGGAGGGTTGTGGTCGTTTTCCCCCACGAGGACCAGTCGGCTTGGGGGAGCTTGTTGATTTTTCGTTTCCTTTGTGGCGGTTTCTTTGGTTGGTTTGACTTTCCGTTTCCCGTTCCTTAGTTGCTATTAGTTTTTGTAAGTATTGGGCATACTCGAAAAAGAGCTGGATCTGGATCGCATTATGTCAAAAGCATGTGCTCTGTCCGACTTGATCGTGCTTAAGGTCTGTTGCTTTTTTGGCTGATTTTTGTAGGAAGAAGGTGAAACCGATGTTTCTCTTTTTCTTTTTTCTTGACTTGTGTTGTTCTCTTTAACTATTAGTTTGTCATATTTCAAATATGCTGTATTTCCCTTTTTCCTCTCTTCTTTTAACTTTTCTTGCAACTCTTTTCTTTTTTCCAGCACTTCCTTCGAGTAATACTCAGTAATGTAAATTTCTTTAAGTTTCTTTTTATTTCTCATGATTTCGTTCTTTTTCCAATTATTTATGAACGAACACAATACCGGTCTAGGTTTGTTGCTGTCCATCTTTTTTTCCCCTAGGCGATGAATTTTATTGATTTCATTAGTGTTAGTTAGTGTTTATATCTTGAATAAAAATCTCTTTTAGCTTTTGTATTAGTTCATAAGAGGATTTTTCCTTTTCTTCTAAGCCAAATATTATAATATTGTTACTCCTTTCTACTCTCTTAAAATAATCTAACTCTCATTCTAATTTTTCAACTTTGATTTTCAGGTTTTTATTATCTTCTAAAATAGGGATTAATTTTTCCTCCATCTTGTTCATAATACTTTCTGTTATAGAATCTTTCAATTCAGCATTTTGCTTTTGCATCTCGATCTTGATTTTGTCGAATAATATTTGAAATTGACATTCCATTGTGTGTGTTCTGAACACACATATATATAGCAAATATCAATAGCAATTGGCAATCATTTAAAGAAACGTGATCTGCTGATATTGATAAAGACTTGTCTCTGCCACTAGTCATGTGAATACTCTTCAAGATACTTTAACCTTAATTATTGTATAAAAATACTTCAATTTGTTCATATTTTTTTAAGTATTTATTAGTGAACCTATTTCAATGAGTTTAGAAATGCAGAATTCAAATGAGAAGAGATGTTTGCATCCCAATAGCACTAAAAATCCTTGGTTCCTTGGGAATTGAAATTGAATTGAAAAATTGAAGTCATAAATAAAAGCATACTTGTATTTTACCATATATAATAACTAGATTTCTTTATAATTGTATTTAAAATAACATTCTAATAATAAGATGAAAATGTATTATGAGCCAATAGGTTAGTCTTGTGCACTTTGTTTGACGGTTGCCCATAGCATTCAGTGACATAAATATATAATAATAATATCTATGAAACAAATCAACTGAATTCCCTAAGAAGTTTATTATTAAACTAATCCATAATCGAAGCGCCGTCATATATATTTAACTGAATATAAAGATATAAAAAAATCAATCTGGTAGTTTCATATCTGAAACAAACAGACATACATAAATCGTAATAATGTTATTCCTATATATGTAAATACATACATCATTTATTCAGAATAAACGCGTTTATTTTAATTTAACTTAATTACAAGAAAAGTCTATTTCACTGTTTTTGTTCAGTTGTATATTAAGAAAATTACATCGAAATCTGCTCAGTATTAAAAATTAACTACAAATAACTTTATATTTTCTTATATTTAATAATATTAATCAAAACATTGTTTCAGGCGCTCGACATAAGGAAGAGTTTGGAAGTATTAGTTAAAGATAAGTTCCAACTGAAGAACAAACCGATAGATGGCGCTGATGTTGGATCAGGTAAATAATAATAATAATAATATATTCAAATAGACATTTCATAATGGTTAACATTAAAATTTGTTATCTTTTCAAGAAAATTAAATATTATGTTCTTTAAAATATTGTCAATGAACAGACAGCGACATCTATTATCTGTGTTAGGTAACTTCACTCAAAATACAAATATGTCTTACATTATCGTGTTTCCGAGAGGATTACAAAGAATTTCGAGTTAAATTATCTTGTATATATTAACATAATGACTAAATCAATACAGTTATTGAGTTTTGTATCGAGTTAATTCAAAATATCGTACAAAGTGCCGTAGTTCTAAATATTTAGGATATAGTCATTTTTATTCAAAAACACTTGAAAAATTCTTACATAATTCATCTAGAACCTTCTCGAACATAATAGTCTTCTATATATTGTATATTTTTGTTTTTCATGTATTTTTTCTATAGTATTATTTATATTTTTGCAGTAAAATGTATAAATATCATGAAAGCCGTATTATCCGGATTGTTTTTAAACGCTAGCAGTCTCTCTGTTGATTGTTACCGCGGCGTTAAAGGCGCCAAGTTGTACATGAGTAGTGACAGCTGTTTGTACACACAACAACCTAAATGGTGAGTTTGTACACAATTTTTTTTAAGTTTTTGTACACATAAGCTTAATCGTAATCTAGGTGTATGCTTGTTTTATTGTAGGAAATTTTAGTTGTTTTTTTTTAATGGACTTTCAAGTAAAAGATTCAGATTTTACCTTATATGCGTTACTAATAAATATACGATGGATAAATATTCAAAATGAGGAGATCAAATAAAAGTTTTTTCTCCACCATAATCCTACATATAAAGAAATCGATTAAAACCCAATTATATATTAGTAACTGTTTTCTTATTCTTCTTCTTCTACCTGGCAATTCCCCAGCTTTAGCCAGGTTCTGACTTACATGTTGTGAATAGTTTTGGCTAATTGTTTTTACGAACGGCCGCCTGCCTGACATCAACCCTCTTTGGGAATTATAATATTAACTGTTTTATTTTATAATATTCACAATTACTTTCCTAACAAATATTTTTTATATTACAGGGTTGTGTTCGCTAGCGTTGAGAGCGGCCCGAACGGAATTTATATGAGAGACTTGATGACTGTACAAAGAGAGTGGCTTACTGAGGTTGCGACACATTACTACACGGACACATGAGAAAAACTACCATAAACATGTACAAATACTATTAGTTTACTATGACCGTGTACAAATGCTTAAAGTACTATGTGCTGTGTACAAAAACTAAGTGTACTTTGTGAAGTGTAAAAACATTTAATATTTTAATTACTAGATAAGGTGTTTTATCTGAAAGTGTATATATTAAGAACATAAGATTTAATAAAATAAATACAAATTTTAATACATTATCCATTAGGAGTCACAGTTTTATTTTTTTATCCAAATCACAAACCCAAATTTCTCCTATAAAAATATACAAAAAAGTAATAATTAATGTTATTTAAAAGTAAAAAGCAACAGGTTCTTTGATTAATAATTAATATTTACTACTTTGATTAATAATTAATATTTACTACGGAACTTATTATCTGTTGTTAAAAGCAAAACCAAAATCATAGTTCATTGCTTTGTATATAATCTGGAAGAGTATTAATTGTAATTGTATGTATAAATGTAAGTATCAATATTTTGAGTGTATACATAATTAAGGTGTACAAAATCTCAAATGTACAAACTTATTTGTGTACATTTTCTTATTTTTTTCCAAATCAACGTTTTTAATAATAGTTTTGAATTTAATTATTTTTTATTTTTATCAGTTCGCATAAAGTTATTAATTGTTTCAAATATAAATAGTAAACTGTTGTATGCAATTATGATGTTATATTTTGTTTTCTGTATTATGTATAATGATTATTATAAATAATAAAAATACATAACTACTTTTCTCTACTGAAAAAAATACTTATGAAAGTCAGAATAATTATAAAATCCCTTTATTTCTTTTCAATTGATAATTTGAATTTAAAACTTATTTTGATTCTTGTGTTTTCATGAGATCTGTTGTGTATTCTTTTTATACTGAGATTATCTCGACAATCCAATGTCTAAAGTAGTCGAGGTTTTTTGTTCGATAGCCCAACTATCCGCGTTGGTTTTATCCAAACACAATATTGATTATTACCAATTTAAATCTTAGGACTGGAAAACTTAATCTATGTCCAAAAACGATACGGTATCAAAACGTATATGCAGAGAGAGAAACTCTTAGTAAATTCCTCTATTGAATATTCAATCAGTGGTGTTAATTTGGTTATCGCGGATTTTTTTGCATTTATTGTTGTTTTAATGAAAATATTCAACTGTTCTTTATGATTAAATCTTATATATTTAAATGAGAAATTCTTATATATATTTACATACAATTGGAATTTCGAAATCGGCTAGGAATAATTTTAAGAAAATGTTATTTTATTTGAAAAAAAAATAAAAAGGAGTCGTTTAAACTATCACTCTTCCTGACATCTATTGGCAAATTGTAATATTACTTTTTGCTAAATGCTTTTACTAATTGCTTTAACGACACAACAGTAGATGGCGTTGTTGAGTACCAGGAAGTCAATGAGTGTTTGTTTTGAGGTAAGACTTAGAAATTATTTGTTGACTAGTTTTTGCCCGCGACTTCGTCCGCGTTAGATTGGTCAAGAGTAATATATGTAGGTGTAGCTGACCAGTCCAACTCTATTCCGTCTTACAGGCCATAAATAATCAGGTTTTTCCTGTTTCAATCAAACAGAATTGACATATTTGTTAGTTGTCAAATCTAATGTCAAAAAAAACTTTTGTATGGGAAATAGAAAAGGGCTGTTTTTATGGTTTTCCCAGTAATGAATCAATTTTTCTCACCTTTTAAACCTTCCCTGGACTTCCAGGAGTATTTCAAGACTAAAATTAGCCAAATCCGTTCAGCCGTTCTCGAGTTTTAGCGAGACTAAGGAACAGCAATCCATTTTTATATATATAGAAGATTTATATTGTTTTGTGTCTAATTAACGTGTTCACTTAAAATACCTTAACGAAATTTAAAAAAAAAAAACAAAATAAAAACTAACAATTCCTAAATACCGAGCAAATCTCGGTAATAAGATATTGTAATATAATATTTTGAAGTGTAATAAATGTAGTGTGTATGCTATATTATAGAATTAAGTCTACTGTAAACCTTTATAAAACATCTCATGTGTACATCCAAATATGGTGGACCACCCATTGGCGCAAAACTTTCATTATGTTATGTTAAAATCTTCTAATATTATTAAATACGATTTAAAGCTACAAAGACGTTTCTTTTCAAACCCAGTAATTAACCACATTAGAACTTGTATGTATGAATATAATATAAATGTGTTTTTTGTGAGAAACCCGGGAAATGAGAAGACGGCCTACTTGATGGGCAGTAGTCACCGTCGCCCATGGACATCCACAACATAAGATATGTTGTGGATGCTGTGTTTAGTTGTTAAGGAAGAGAGGCCGGTGGGCATAAGATGACATTAAAGAATGAAAATAAGGAAAGGGCTCTTTCATCTATCAGACGAAACGCAGCCATTAAAGGCTACTTCACGCCGATCTTCTGTGAGAGGGTGGTACTTCCCCGGTAAAGCCAGCCCATGTTCGAGATGTAGTAACTGACAACAGCTAGGCTCTACCATCTATATAAGTCTGCTTTTTCTATTATTATTGTCTTGTTTTAACGATTTCATATTACTAGGTGTTTTTAGTCAATGACCCAAATGACAGTGCAGTTGTGATTCTAGTTCTCTCGTGTTAATTTGCCACTTTTGGCAGTCTTCGATTGGCATACAATGTTGTGACATTTAGCGTCACCAAAATACATGCGTTTTTTTCTATGCCCATATGAGGTGATATACCTTGGCTTATACTTTCAACATAGTATCCTTGAAGTACCCCGATCGCCTTTAGTTATAAGGTGTCTTGGAATCTTCATATACGTCGGTTCATTGATCCCAAAGCTCATTCATTGAATGAAAACTCGCCGTCTTTGCCAAGGGACGGTTGTATAGTACTCCGGGACAAGTTAGTTTCTATAAAGCAAAGGTCCACTCGTGTATAAAGTAGGTACAGCTGTTGCGTTTGGTGGATGGTGCCAAATCACCTTATAAAGGCGAAAAAAGTCTTACCGCTTACTACGATTTCTTGAAACTGAATTTAGACAACCCTTGGCAGATATAAATAAACAAGCTTTTCGTTTAATTATATAGAGTGGCAACCGGAGGTTCCAGGAAAACTACGAAACGTACTTATATGTATATTAAAATATAAATTACATGTCAAAAATTATAACCTATACCTAAGACTACATGATTGCCCCCAAGTTAGGATGACAATGGCATTCTATTGCTTGTGTGGTATGTGGAATCTTGTGGTTCACACGGCTTGGTGTTGGCTCCGCGGAGTCAGCGGCGTCACTCGTTATATTTTATTGCACCGATACAAGTTTTCTATAGTATACCTATAGTTGAAGATTTGTTTGAAATCTAGGATAGCATTCCTTCTCATCTTTGTTACCGGACAAACTGACGACCAGTGAGTCTTTATCTTTTGGGTGTTGATCATAAATGACATCGGATAACGTGTTACGCTTCTATTTCTATCAAAAACAGATAATAAGGAATGGAACAGTTTGCCTGCATATGTCTTTCTTTCCACTGATGAGTATTTTAAGCAAATTGAAAAGGTTTGTACTTACCATCGTCATATACTTACATTTTTATTTACCGGGTAGTTATTATGCCATAAGAAGTGGCTCAAATTAATTTCATGAAATGCTGCTTACTTAGATTTTGTACAAACATTAAGGAATTAAAGGCCTACCAAAATGCTTGTTGTGTCATTTTAATTCAAATTAATTTGTTAAAATATCGAAGTCAGATTAAATTTTAATTATTAATATGCTCTATATTTAAATTTGGTAACGGTTGCAACTATAACATATGTATAAATGCCCATCAAAACTAACTACAGCCAATTTATTGAAAACCTCAAGAACATGACAACAAAAATATACTGAATTGTACCGATAGCGAGTGACGAAACCAACATCACACAAATCGTTGATTCTAATCCGTACATTCAAATGCCAATGACTTGCTTATTTTTCCTAGTAATAAAATGAATTATATTTAATCAAAAAAATATTGAATACGCTAGTGTTTAGCCCGCAACTTTGTTTACGTCAGAGTCAAAATTACAAATTTATAGGTGATTGCATAAACTCTGTTTCGCCTTAGAGGCAGTAAATAGGAATATTTTGGATTTTATCAAGTTTTTTTTTCTTTTTCCTATGTCCGAAAAGCATTCTAGTATATCTGTCTGTTGTTCTAAGCTACCTCCCAACCAATTTTTAAACAAATCCGTTCTTCATTTAAAATAGTGTAGCTAACTTACACGATCTTTTTTTTTGCATAAATAGACATAAAATTTCTTTAATATATTTGTTAACGATTCCTGTATAATTTTGCTATATTATGTTGTAGCATACTGCATAGTGTACTTGTGTTTTATTTTTATTTTTGTTGAGTTTCAATCAATGAATATTTTTTTAAGGATATGTTTAGTTTGTATAAAAAAAATTACCAAAAAATCAGGAGATTATTTGGGACATTTCCAAGAGGAATCCTTCAGAGTAACAATCTTGAAACATTTCTGTGTCCGTAGACTGTATTCATCACATTTCGCATAATTATTTCTATTCAGTTTCACGTCCAAATAAAATTTACCACTATCCATTACAAAAACCTGAGTTGATACATGTGTATATATCTGCATAATCGAGAATGCTGAAATTGCTACTCAGAATTTATATTTTTTATTAAAAGTCTCTCACCGTCATATAATAAGTGAGATGGTTTAAATTTACTTAGAAAGAAAAAAGTATTTATATTTAGAATGATAAATTAACATCCAGGAATTACATACCTTCTTGTTTTTTATTGTAGTGCAATATAATAAACAATGTAGAACTTCATCAAACCGACCAATGATGTACATTTATCCGGAATGTTTAATTGTAACATATGTATTTCAAACATTTGGTTTAGAGGTAGGAGAGTCTGGCTGTGATTAAGTTTCTATAGCTCGAACATGTGCTGGCTCGACCGGGGAAGTACCACCCT